CAGGTGTAAGGCATCATCAGAACAAAAAATCTTACCATAGTGAATGATGGGGGGAGTGCGGAGTGGAGATCCAAAGCCCAAAAATTCTGTTTGTAAGGCGCTCTTGTACACAGCCTGACATTGTGATGGCATTTCCCAAGGGAAATTTGGCATACGTATCAATTACCCTGGAAAATATTCAGATCCTTATTCTCTAGTTCTACGCCTAGGGGATTGTCCTTAAGGAACCAAAGAGAAAGTCATTTAAGGAATTAGTTAAGAAGTATAGCCCAAAAAATGAATAACTTGAATATAAAACAATATCTATATAACAGCTTATCTAATCAAATAAATTAATGCTTAGATAAATGATGCTACAAATATATGATACAATATCCAGGAGTGACTATGTACAGAGAATTTTTAATGATATGGAACAGTGCTATGTGTAAAGTTAAGTAAAACGATACAAGGCGTACAATTGGTTATATATATAATATGGTTATTTTTTAAAAGAGATGCACAGCTCTATAGCTAATAAAAATTTTTAAATGGCATGCTTTGGAAGGTTACTATTTGCTATTCTTGAGAATTTAATATTTCTACTTTTGGGTATTTCTCACAATGAATGTGTTTTACACTCATAGAAAAAAATAAAAGATTATATCTTACTCACCTCATGGAGCCTTTGGGTGGTGCAAATGGTTAAACACACAGCCATTAAGTGAAAGGTTGGCATTTCAGATCTACATGGCCACCTGGAGACCCACTTCCGGCAAGTTAGCCCTTTGACATCAAGAGTTCTCTTCTCACACTCTTGGGGTCTCCGCAAATCGAAGTCACCTTGAGAGCAACTGGTTTGATATTGCTGGTTGATGATCTCTGATCATACAGTGAACGCTGTATTACAGCTGAACCAGTTGATGGTGAGCAAGCCATAGGACTCAAGATCTTACTCCGAGCTAGCCAAATCGATGATGAAAGCTATCGTCCTGCAGGGGGATTGTTTAATTCATGGCTGCCTCTCTGGGCAGGCCTCCCCTTCCTTGGTCTCACCTTTGAGCCGTCGCCTACACTGTGAAAGCATTATTCCCTCTGTGTGCAGGTCTAAGTGGACTTGTGTTTTCTCTCTCCAGGTTGCCTGTGGCTACGCACACACGTTAGTCTTAACAGAGGAAGGCCAAGTGTATGCTTGGGGCACCAATTCTTATGGCCAGCTGGGCACGGGCAATAAAAGTAATCAGTCCTACCCTACCCCTGTCGTTGTGGAAAAGGACAGGTAATGTGTGCGTGTTCACAATAACCCCAGTGTTCTTTAGTGATTAAACAGAGCTTAGCCGTGATAGAATTGTGGGAAATGTACTGCGCGTGTTAAGCATCTTCTTGCTTTACCAGAAGGTTCGTTCCTCATTAGCGGCGGCTTTTGAGTTGATGGGGAGGTCTTCTCTATGTTATATTCTGTCTTTCCTTTGCCCATGTTTCATCGATACCTTCAGGAACTCACAAGAACGCTTGTCATTAAGGGCTGCCGAGGGGGTTCCGATGCAGCACAGTGCTCTGTACAACAGAATGAAACGCCTCTCCTGGGCCATCCTCACAAGTGCCTGTTCAAGTCCCTGGTGGCAGCCACGGTGTTAACGGTCCTGTTGAGGCTCTGTCTCTTTTCTGTTCCTCTCCTCTACCGAGCATGACGTCCTTCTCCAAGGACGCCCTCTCCTGACCCCCTAGTTAAGAACAAGTAGGGTTAAGCTGGCGACCCTGCTTCTACCCGACTCCTTCCTCTTTGCTTCCTGACTTACGTTGTTCAGAAGCAGTTGATAATGGCGGAGCGCTGTTTTGTTCCTCTGCCGCGGTGTGAGAATAGCCGCTCAGCCGCTTAGGACATTTGCCAGTCAAAACAACGAATGTGTAAGTGTGCTTCACACGATTGATGTATGTGTGCCTTGTGATGAGTGGTCTGAGCCCCAATAAAATGATTTTTTTTAAAAAAGCAAAGAATCGTTTCATTACTCTAACTCTCAAACTAGCTCTGTGAGTTAAAATCACTGGAGAGTTAACACTTTGGGCACGTGTTCGTAACATATGCTAATTAGTTATTTTCCAAATTATCCTAATGGTATTTTGAACGTCTGCTTTTCAGCTTCAGTTCTACAGTTCACTGCAAGGCCGTACAATGCTCACAAGCATGGGGGTTAGTAGGGAAGTTAACACCTTACCATTCAGATTCAGAAATGCTCAGAGTAGAGTTGTTTAGTCAAGACAGGTCACAAAGTCCTTTTAGGGCTGTTAATAAATGTCCAAAGGGCATGCTACCCCCGCTGTAAGCCTCACCCAGGAAGCACTCCGTGTCCTGTAGGTCACCCGGAGTTCAGTGGCTCGCACTCCACCAGTCAGCCTTCTGCTCCAAAGCTCTCTTCCGAGTTGCTCAGTGGACAGCCTTACACTCGGGCTCCTGGTGCGGTCCTGGCTGCTCCTCTGCCTGACCTCTGGTGTCACAACTGTCTCCTGGATCCAGGAGGTTCTCTGCACAGAGTCCTGAAGATGCCCTCCACGCCTAGCTCTTGCTGGTCGTGAGACCTCCGTTTTCTGCTTTTGCGATGGCTTGTTTTATATGCAGCAGCGTGGCAATCACACTGAAACCTGTTCATAAGGATTCACAGCTGAGTCTTTATCAGTATTCTCCTCCTGCTTCACAATTCACTACACTATCCTAAGCATAGCCATATTTTGCTTCCCTGTCATAGTAGTTTAGAGCAAAAGCATTTCATTTTTTCTTTCTTTCTTTCTTTCCTTCCTTCCTACCTTCCTTCCTTCCTTCCTTCCTTCCTTCCTTCCTTCCTTCCTTCCTTCCTTCCTTCCTTCCTTCCTTCCTTCCTTCCTTCCTTCCTTCCTTTTCCCCCAGGGATCACCAAGGGACTGATGATTTAGGAGATTTATTATGAAGCTTTTTTCAAAGTCATTTTATTGGGGGCTCATACAATTCTTATCACAATCCATCCATCCATCCATTGTGTCAAGCACATTTGTACATTTGTTGCCCTCATCATTCTCAAAACATTTGCTTTCTATTGGAGCCCTTAATATCAGCTCCTCATTTTTTCCCCTTCCTCAAGAACCCTTGATAATTTATAAATTATTATTATTTTGACGTATTTTTTCTTTTAAACCAGGGTTGCAATCATTTTAGAAGATAAATCTGTTTTTTATCACATTAATTTTATTATGTTTGATTAATATTAAATAGATTATCTTGTATTTATATGGAGTTCCGATGTTCTTTCATTGGATCACTTACTGAGAGTGAAAATCTCATTACTGATACTTAATAAGTTAAATAAAACTACTCCCCTCCCCTCTTAATTTTAGAATACGATCTTTGACCTTTTAAGAATTGGAGTTGAGGTGGGAGGTAATGTGTGGCTGGTGCACGTTAATGTAGGATGTCATTTTTATTTATTATAAGAGGTAGTTTAGAACCGATGACAAGAATCTATGTATAGCCTCCTCCCTGGGGTATGGACAGCAGAGAAGAGGGTGGAGGGAGACGCCGGACAGTGTAACATATGACAAAATAATAATAATTTATGAATTATGAAGGGTTCACGACGGAGGGGGCAGTGCGGAGGGAAGGGGAAAAATGAGGAGCCGATATTAAGGGCTCAAGTAGAAGGCAGATGTTTTGAGAATGATGAGGGCAGCAAATGTACATATGTGCTTGACACAATGGATGGATGGATGGCTTGTGATAAGAATTGTACGAGCCCCCAATAAAATGATTTTTTAAAAAAGAGGTAGTTTAGAGGTACTCAGTAAAAAGAGAAGGGATCATCTTGAGGCTTTGAAGAAGCAGACAAATGCCTGAAGCTAACCAGTCACCGGGGACATTTCCCATGCAGAATGAACAATCAAGATGTTCAACGCGTAAGATCAAATAAAAACTGTATAAAGCATCACAGCAATAAAACTATATTTGCATTATATTCAAAGGCGTCCTAGGGGTGATAAAGTGTAGGCTGCTTGGTAATCGAGAAGTCAGGAGAGAAATGAGGGTGTCTGATCCAGTAAGAGCCGCAGTCCTGGAAAACCCCTACATAGGGTTGTTATGAGTTGGGATCACTGGATGGCCATGGCTTTGTTCTGTTGTTTGTTTGGGTTTACCGTATTGAAGGGAGCTTGGCTATGTGTTGGGCTGCTAACTACAGAGGTGGCAATTCAAACCCGCTAGATTGCTTCATGGAAGAAAGACGAGACTCTCCGCTCCTATAAAGAGTCACCATCTCAGAAACCTTCAGGAGCAGTCCTACCGTGTCCCCAAGGGTCGAGGTGACGCACAACCAATATGACAATAGTAGCATTGACTGTGTTTAGGAGCCTCTGGGCGGTGCTAACCTACCTACTTGGCTACTAATCAAAAGGTCGAAGGTTTGAGTCCACCCAGAGGTGGCTGGGAAGAAAAGTCTGTCCATCTGACAAGGCAGCTATGTAAACCCTCTGGGCATAGTTCTGTTCTTGGCCGAGAGCTGGGATCAATCAACTCACTGGCAACTGATTTCCAAATGTATCGTTCTTTTTAAGTTCACCATAAACTCCTCTGACCTAGACTCTCAGAGTTCCCAGCCAGCCACCCTCTGGAGACTTGCTCCAGGTCAGCCTGCAGCAGTCACTGAGGCAGAAGGAGAGGACTGGACTCCAGTGGAAGTGGCAGCCCCCAGGGTACGAATGCAGTAAAGAGGAATTTGGGGGTAGCAATGCTGTGGGCAAAAGGTAGGGCAGCAAGGTACCTGAGCTCTGTGAGGGCCAATTGATTCCACCAGGATCTGAGATCAATTCTTTCTAATGATAAATATAGAACAAGTGGACATGGCTCCATTCTGGTTGTCTGCAGAAACATTATTTGCGCCATAAGAATTGGGGGTGAATGTTTTGAATGCAGCAGGTTTGCTCTCCTCGGTTGATCGTGCTTCACTTTCCTGTGCAGTTTCTGAGCCTGTAGTGTCTGCCAGGTCGCAGCCACACACATATTCCAAGAGGAAGGTCTACGTCCTTTATGGGACTTGTTCGGCCTCTGTCTAACCTTTCCGGTGAATGGAATCTTGTGAATTCCTTATTGTTTTGCAAGAAACCTTCCTTCTGTCTCTTTGAGGCCTTTGCTTGTAGGAAGCAGGGGATTGAATCGGTTTAGTCGGGTTTTCATGGGAAGAATTATGAAAAAGAATACAGTGAACCCTCGTTTATCGCGGTTCATCGGTTCTAGACCCTACCGTGATAAATGAAATTCCGCGAAGTAGGATTCCTTATTTGTAAATCAAATATTTTCGTAGTTAGAGCATAGAGGACATGAAAAAACACCCTTTAGTCACCATTACACTCGTATTACCCAATTTATTAAACGATAAAGGGAAAATACAGTAAAACATTTTGGACGTTACAATTATCATTTATTATCTATTATATTATTTATGGCATCAAGCGTGTACAGTATGAGCCAATCAGTGGCAGTAATGACAGAGCATGCGCTGTTACGCAAAAACCGCGATAGAGTGAAGCCGTGGAAGTCGAAGCGCGAAGTGGCGAGGGTTCACTGTACTAGTATTTGTCGGCAACTTTCATGTAAACCTAAATTCAGTAGTTCAATTGGTTAGAGATTGTGCGCTCCCTGACAAGCTGCTGTGTCCATACCTTGGGATTTGTTTTGCCCGCATTGATTTCCTTGTTCTTAACATCCTTTAAAAGCACATTGTAAGCTAAATTGATTTAAAACTAGCTTTGCCTTGCATTCTTGAAAATGTTGTGTCTTGCTCAGGTAACTGTTAAAAGCTTCGGATCGGGGATCACGGCTCTGCTCTTTTTCGTACCACCAGCCCTTCCATATCCTTCTTCCTCACAGATGACAGCTTTCCCCTCTCATCACGACCTGTCTCCCATCCCTCTGCCTGGTCTTCAGAGCCCTGGGGCCCTGTGGTGGCTCTGATTCATTCTGTGGAGCTGACGCAGAACAAATCCGGTTATTAGGAATCATAAGTCATTTTTTTAAGATGGGCTGCAAAGAGGCAAGATGAAATACGCCAGCTAGGCTGGCACTGAAGGGCAGCGCCACGGAATGAATCAGATATGCAAAGAAAAGCCCTTGGGCACCGTAGTCTCAATCTCCGCCCCATGCCCATTGGACGACAGCGGCTGTGGTCCACCACGCCCTGGCCCCGCCCCGCCTTCCCCTGGGGAGTGCCGTGTTCTGGGTGAACCTCCAGGGTAACTGAGGGCAGGCCTGTGCGGATACCTCCTGTGCCCCACCCTTGGCCTTGTCTGCCGCAGCCGCTCTCTCCTTGAGCTCAGCTTCTGTGACAGCCGAGGGTGCCCCCCTCCATTTAAACCAGAACACAGACTCCCTGCCGTCCAGTCAGTAACAACCTAATGGGACAGGCTTCGAATGCCCTTGTGGAGTTGTGAGACTGTAATTGAGGACGGGTGTGGAAAGCCCCATCTTTCTCCTGCTCATGGTCTTAAACTACTGACCCCGAGGTTAGCAGCCAAACGCTTAACCACTACGCCACCGGGGCGCTTCTCCTCCACATCGACTAATCCTCATAAGCATGTCCGAAGTGGACGCCGCAAGAGTAGGTGTGCATGGCCCTGAGGCGGACATGGTTTTCATGTTGCGATGTTGGATGATGCCTCCCGAAGGCCTCTTCCTTTTCCCAGCTGGTGCACCATTCATAGAAGCTTATCCGCAAAGGGGGAGACTTTCTACCAGTGTGGAGACCCTGGATGGAGTCTGAGGTCACGGTGCTCCGCGGCCAACCAGAAGTTGGAGGTTTTGAGTACCCAGAGGTGGCCAGAAAGAAAGGCGTGGTGATTACGGCTAAAAACCCAGCCATTGAGAACCCTGTGGAGCACAGTTCTACACCGGCCCAGACGAGGTCGCATGAGGATAGCAACTGAGTTAGTTAGAAATTATTTTACGTGACCTCTCAAGGGCATGACGTCAACCCAGAATTACGTCCCGCTGAGCTGGGTGGCCTTATGAGTGTGATAAAGAAAAGGGATTCCTTTTTTTCTTCTTCTTGAACTAAAAGACACTTCTGAATGAAAAAAATAATAAAAAGAATAACGTCTCTGGAAGGCCATTGTCTCAGTGGGTCCATATGGTAATGGGTTTAGTAGGCCCTTGGAGAAGTGCTTAAATATCAAGAGCGCAGGAATAAGTCATTGATATTTATCTGAATATTATTTGTTGGATTATGCTAGATTCCCTTAGAACTACAGTAGCTAAAAATAGTCTTCTTTTATCTAACTGATTAGATAACTGCTTGGTTAGCCCCAGCCCCACCAACAGAGCAGCATGGCTTCCGGTCCGTCAGTGCTATCAGACTGTGTTCCCATAGACTCATACTCCTGAAGCCATCTTTGATTCTCTCCTTCTGCATCGACATAAAGGCCACTCTTAATTTTGGCACTGTGGCTTGGATGTGCCCTCTCTACACCCACTGGCCTTCCAGGGTGTTCTTTCGACTCATTTTGCACAAGGTTATTAATCTTTCTAAGCACACCATTCTCATCACATCCTCACATAGCTACACAGGGGTTACCAGTTTGCCCAGTAAGTCACATCAAATCGAAATGCGTCAGCCTTGTCTTTCAGATCAACACCACTGTTCCTAGAAAACGTATTGCTTTCTGCTCCCCCCTCAGCATTACAATTACTCTTTCTAATCTTGCTCTGGCTACCTTGTGTCTCTACGTTAGCTCATGCTTTTTCTCTTTGCCTAATATACTCTTAGGAGCCCCGGTGGCACTGTGAGCTAGGGCTTGGGCTGAAAAACACAAGGGCAGTGGTTCCAACCCATCAACCGCTCTCTGGGAGAAATAAGAGAGATCTGCCCTGGTGAAGATTTTGATAGGGTCATTATGAGTTGGAATTAACCTGACGACAGTGGATCTGGGTTTTGGGGGGAATACTCTCTTGCTCCATTTCTTTTACAATTCCAAAGCCAACGTGGTCCATGTAAGCTCCCTTTGCAGTAAATATTACATGAAGAGTCTCCCCGAAGTAGCATTCCCTCACTGCAGCCTTTCTTGTCTGTGCTACATCTGGGAACTGTTTGTAGCTTCCCAGATACGCAACTTCTCTCTTCAGCTAGACCATGAGCGCCTCAAGGCAAGCCAGGGAGATCCTGACGCACTGGGAAGCCTTTTGGTGCAGGAAAGCAGTGGGTTTGGGATGCCCAGACAGCGCTGAGCACCAGATTATGTTTCCTCTTCATGGTGTGCCTATGAAGTAATTATTGCCTCATCGCCTGCTCCTTCACTTTTTCTGAAAAACATGATAAAACCGGTTATAAGAGTCGCAGTACCCGGGTCTGACTCCCAGCCCCCTGTTCCGTCCACTATACCAAACATGCTCCTCCTCAGGGGTTCCAGCCAATGGACTTTTCTTTCACGTAATCGATACAATTATTTCATTCCCCCCACCACCACCACCCCTTTATTTGTTGAAAAGAATATGCTTATTGAGAAGCCAAATAGTACGGATCATATTTCCCCCCTGAGCAAAGCTCTTTTGCAAGTACTTTATCTGAGGTTGGAGCCAACCTACCCATGCAAATGCCGTGAGAAGGAATCTACCTGGGGGGGTCTTAGTAATCTTGTTTGATCGTAGGAAATGCGCAGTCTGGATATAAAGGAGGCCTTGGAACTTTAACGCTGACCCGGAGTCATCATAATACGGGCCCCCTACTGGTTTTACCAGGGTACAGTTGTTGTTCGGCGGTAGAATTCTGCCTTTATGTGTGGGCAGCTTGGGTGTGTACAACCTGCACCTGTCAGTGGACAGAGTTGTACATGTTGCTGAACAGGTTTCAGTGGAGCATCCAGACCAGAAGAGACTAGGAAGAAAGGTCTGGTGATCCACTTGTAAAAATTAGCCCATAAGAACCTAGGGATCACAGCAGTCTAATTCTGTAGTTTGTTGGGTCTCCATGATTCGGGGGCTGACTGGATGGCAGCTAACACCACCACCACCACCCAACACTATTATTACCACAATCAAACGATGAAATAAAAACAATCCCTCCTCGTATTCTACCCTTCATATACAAGATCTTGTACGTCAATAATCATTTTACCTCATTCTCACACATTAGCCTTGTAATGGGACGTACGGAGGTTCAGAAAAGCCCAGTCACCTTTCGGCGGTGGGTTGACCCAGTGGTAGAGCTGAGACGCTGACCCGGGCCTGGCAGACTGCAAGTCCTCGTTCCTCTCTCTGGCCTCTTCCCTCCAGTGGGGTGATGGTTTTCCTGAGCTAAGACTTGTCCTATAATAAATCAGTGGAGTTACCTGTGCTGCGTCTGAGAAACAGAGGAGCGCTCACACCCTAATCTCCAGCCTTTGATGCCCCCTCCTTCCTCCCTTGGAAAATCTCTGGAACACACGCTGTGGAGCAATAGCCGCACTCTTCCGTTGTTGCCCCTTGGTCAATAGGCTCTTACCCAATTTTCTATTGCTCTGTGTTGCTGAATCTTCCTCAGGCTTAGTCCACAAAATGACCTGTGCATCTCGATTTAGTCAGGCAGTGTGCTAGATCCTTCTAAAACAGCCCAACCCCAAATCCACAGCCATCAAGTTGAGTCTGACTCATCACGCCCTCTATAGGGTTTCCCAGAAAATTACACGGGGCTCCTGCTAAATGCTTAGGGACAGAGAAACAAGCCCGTGATTCCATCTCCCACAGACCTGTCATCTGAACAGGTAAAGCCAATAGGCCAGAAAAGATACCAGAGTCAGACGTGGGCCAGAGAGGTGTGATGGACGTGCTCCAAGAACTCAGGGAAAGGAGAGACCTCTTCCCTCCCAGCTGGTTGAACTGGGCTTCAAAACGGTCCGATGTGTGAGGCAGACAGTAGAGGAATTAAGTCGAATAAAGCCTCCGAGGGGCAGTGAGTGATGTTTGGGACATAAGGTGGTGAGAGCAAGAGTGAACTGAGAGAAGTGGAGAGTGGGAAGCCTCGTGATGGAAGGATCGGCATGCTGGGTGTCTGGATTCGCCTGGGGAAGCTGCCCAACATTTGCATTTGAAAGCTCCGATGAGCATGGCATCCTCTGGGGAGGATGATTAATTTGCCAGGCTGTGCAGTCTAGATGGGCGGGTCTAGAAGTCCACCGCAGGGAGACCCAGCCGGCTTTCTCAGTGGGGGTCGATGGCCTTGGGGGTGTGAGAAGGAAAGAAAGCCCAAACTGGGGTCATCGGATGCCCGACGGTCACCATGAAGTTCAACCCGTTCGTGACCTTGGACCGCATCAAGAACCGCAAACGCCACTTCAATGCGCCCTCGCACAAGCGCAGGAAGATCGTGTCGTCCCCACTCTCCAAGGAGCTGCGACAGAAGTATAGAGTGTACCCCACGTCCATCCGCAAGGACGACGAGGTCCAGGTGGTTCGAGGACACTACAAAGGCCAGCGAATCAGCAAGGGGGTCCAGGTGTACAAGCGCGTGCAGCATGAGAAAGGCAATGGCGCCGCTGTCCACGTGGGCATTCCCCCGAGCAAGGTGGCCAGTACCAGGCTGAAGTTGGACAAAGATCGGGACAAACTTCTTGAACGCAAAGCCAATTCTCGGCCGGTTGGAAAAGAGAAAGGCAAATACAGGGAAGAGCTTATGGAGCAAATGCAGGAATGAACGCACGCTGCGTGGAACACAGCTGAGCGGCGGATGTCTGGCCTGATGCGTGTTTCTTGGGAACTTTCTTCAAGATGTGTTTGGAACATTTCATTTCCCTCTTGTTCAGCGATGGATGTGTGGCTTTGTAACTCCGCCTTTGCCATTTCGATGAATTGTATGAGTAAAAATGTGGACTGTTTAAAAAAAAGAAAAGAAGAGAAATCCCACACTGGTCCATCTTCAGCACTTAAGGGAACAAAAGGCCAAGAAGTTACCAAGTAACCAGAGCACCCACTGATAGTTGGTACAACAGTCCCTAGAAGCCAGGCACCTGGGGAATGGCACCCGTGACTCAGATTCATCCGGAGAGGGTGGGAGTGGGGTGGGGTGTGGGGGGCGGTGGGAATCTGTCTGAGGCAGTCTGTCCTGGAAAGAGTGTTAACCCCATAGTACGCGGTCAATGAGGAACTGGGGGAGGGATGAATCTTCCCCATTGTCTTCTGAGGCGTGGTTACCCAGTTTTACAAAATCTCTTAAGTAAAGCCTTGCTCTCGCATAAGTGGTTATAGATTGGATTTCTTGAGTGTTCTTGGGTTACTATGGTTACGCACTGGTATATCTCTTATGGGACAAGGTGTCCACCCCAGTTCCCCTCTGGAGACCCATCAGAATACGGTCCAAGTGGGGGACACAATCAAGACTCTCCTTGGGGGAGAAAGTGTCCTGTCTTATTTGAATTTGTATGGGGGCTAATTCTCGAAGAAAAGGTCCTATTTCCAAAGCAACTACCCAACATTCTCCGTTAGGGAGTTTTCTGAAAATGTCCTCCTGGTCATTCACGAATCTGTCATAAGGTGTCCCCAGAAAGTGGACGATGCAGTCAGCATTGGCAGCATGAGCTCGGCCACTGCAGGATGCTCCATTTCACCCTAAGGAGTGAAGGTTACGATGAAGACATTTGTGGGTTGGCACTGGGCCCATGCCTTTATCATCTACTTTAATAAAGTCTTTTAGAAAAGAAAATGAAGTTACTGTTGGCTTCTGTTTGTGTGTTTGCTACAGTCTTTTCACTTGTACTTTAATTCCCACATGGAAGCGTGTATTTTTTCTTGGCTTACTAGTTAGAAGTCTTAAGTCAGCTCCCCCTGGGAGCTAAGTGCCACTGCAGTGGGCCTTTTTGTAAACGTCAATTATAGTCTGATAGATGCAGATGTAGGCAGGCGATTCCGTGCCCTTCAAAGTCGTCTTGTTTGGGTGGATGTGAAATGTGAGATGCCTCCGACCCCTTGCCCCTAGAACCTTGTGCTGCTCTTTCTGTCTCCTGTGTTTACTCCGCATTTCTTTGTAAATTTAGAATTATCGAGATTGCAGCCTGTCACTCTGCGCACACCTCCGCCGCCAAGACCCAGAGTGGGCATGTGTACATGTGGGGCCAGTGTCGCGGCCAGTCGGTCACCCAGCCTCACCTGACCCACTTCTCCTGCACGGACGACGTCTTTGCCTGCTTTTCCACGCCCGCCGTCACGTGGCGCCTCCTCTCCGTAGGTGAGCTGATGGACCCGAAAATAGGCCGAGCACCTTGGTGCCTGCTTTCTCCTACTTAGGGTTTGGTTAAGAGCCATTTGAGGGGACTCCAGAAAGTTCGTGGAGAAATCCCATCATGTTTTCATTCCGTTTTTCCAGTAGCTTTTGGAAGCACTCTCGTATCATCCTCTGAATGACTTGTTTTCTTAAAAGTATTCAAAACCAAGAACCCCTACCAAGTGGAGTCATTTTATTGGACTGTGTTTTAATCTCAGTGGGAAATGATGTATTCGATGAGTCGATGGGCTAGTTAGTCCAATATGAAGACTTTACGTTTTGGAGGTGCTTTGGGATGCATCCTTGTTGACTTGCCAGATTGATGGGAAATGTACACAGTTCTTTAATGATGACATAGCTTCGTGTCTGTGTAGAAGAAAGTGTCACTGTGTGCGCATTGTTGTGGGGTCTGTGCTGTTAGGGGGAGCTGGTATTTTCACCCGAGGCAGCAGAGCCACCGGTCCATTGGTGACTCTTGTCTCCGTTTCCAGCGTGTGTGTAACTGACCCTAAAACCATGCGTGTTGCTTCTTAGAGCCAGACGACCACCTCACCGTGGCTGACTCGCTGAAGAGAGAATTTGACAACCCTGCTACTGCAGACCTGAAGTTTTTAGTCGATGGAAAGTATATTTATGCACACAGAACCCTTCTCAAAATTAGGTAAGAATGTTCACATTGCTTTTTCAGAATTGAGATACAACCACTGATTTAGCACTTAATTTCTCAGTGTCTAGGAAGCAACGCTGAGCAACTCACTCGCGTGCAAAACTGTGAAGCTCTGGGTTTACCCTTGGAAGCGTGCAATAAGCTAGCAAAAGCACTACGTGGCAAACAAGAAAATTGTGCCGGGTGTGGGGAAACCATGCTTGGGGCATTGTTCAGTGTAGCCTTCAGGAGGCTTTGAAAAGAGCCCAGGTCTGCTCTGGTGTCAGAGAGCAAGAAGCCAGCTTGGATCAATGCACTCTGTATTTTGATCACTGTCTGAAACCAGGTTAAGGAAACGTCTCTAACTGGGAACTGAACTCTACTCAGATGGTCTCTCTTCTCAATAATCCTTCGTGTGGGCTACTGAACTTAAATGTTTTAAAAGGAAAAACAAACTATGATGGCCTTGGTGAAGGGAACCCCGAGGTTTTAAATAAATCAAATGGATCCATGTATAATGGATGTGTCGTGAGCTTCATCCAGTGAAATTTGATAGACAGTTGTGCCTGTCTGTCTATCAAAGACCGGGACGACTTCCATCACCCTCAGAGACCCTTCCCTACACCCCTCAGCCTGGACACCCACTGAGCCACATCCGCCCCCATGGAATGGCTGACATTTCCTATGATTTTATCTAATGAAATCAGGCAGCATGCGTTGGTGTCCTGCTGCGTTCCCCCAGCACAATGCTCTTGAAATTCATTTACCTGGTGTAACAGATACTTGAATCCTAAGTCAATGATTTGCACACTCAAGATACATCTTAGTCTCACGTTTACCTGTTTCTAAGGTCAGGCTGGGCGACATTTGTTCACTCTTAGGACAGGACAGACGCTTTCATGCGAGCAGGGGGCAACGGAACAAAATCACTCCGATTTCATTAAAAACCAAACCCCGCTGCGTTCTATAAACGCTGCTACAGAGACAAGATCTCTTGCTCCCCGCGGCCTGCGGACTTAGTGGATGATGGACCGTGCTCAGGCTCCCTGGAGCGCCCTGGCCCGGACACGAAAGCGTGTTGGAACACGGATCCAGAATGAGGGTGGTGTTTCCCTCCCCTGGTTCTCGGTACACGGATGGGGGGAGGCGCTTGGCTCCTGCCCAAAGACAAGGCTTGACACGCTTCGCTCTGCCTTCAGGTGTGAGCATTTTCGGGCTTCGCTGGAAGCGAATGAGGACGACGTGGTGGAAATGAGTGAATTTTCATACCCTGTGTACCGCGCCTTCTTGGAATACTTGTACACCGACGGCATCAGCCTGTCTCCCGAGGAAGCTGTAGGTAATGACCATGGGACCTTTCTGAGGAATGGGCAAAGTATTGACACTGACAAGCTGCTCTCTGCAGCGCTTAAGCAAAGGTCACTATGGGAATGATCACAGCATCGTCATTGCGTTTTGCCCTCTATAAGGTGACCAGATTGTGACATTGGTAAAGCGGGACACCATTGATAAAATGCATATCCTGGCGAAATAGCCACATGGCAGCTGAAAACCGTATACCCTAGCTTGTCCTGCATCCTTTCCAAAAATTGGGACTTTTTTAAAACGCCGCGGGACGTGGGAAAAATTGTTAAAAATCAGGACTATCCCGCCAAAAGCGGGATGTCTGGTCACCCTAAAAATGTTTCCTGTTACTCCTTCATACAAAGACTGACTGGGAAATAAAGTCGGGGGACGTCTGGTCACCCTAAAAATGTTTCCTGTTACTCCTTCATACAAAGACTGACTGGGAAGTAAAGTCAGAGTGATGAATGTCAAAACATTATCACTTCTTCATTACTGTCCCTAGATATTCTGAATTACTGTCCCTAGATAGAGCATGCCATGCTCAGGTTGAAGGTTTGCGTCTACCAAGAGGGACCTCAGAAGAAAGACCTGGTGAGCTACTTCTAAAAAATCAGTCACGGAAGACCCTGTGGGGCACAGCTCTATTCTGGCACACATAGGTGGCCAGGAATTGGCATCTTCGACAAACAGGGCACAATGAAATGGCTTCAATATTTTGTCCTAGAAAAGGATAAAAAGTGGCCCTCTTCAATTAACCCTCATCTGATGTGTGTGTCCGTGTGTGTGTGTCCCCGTGTGTGTGTCCGTGTGTCCCCGTGTGTATGTGTGTCCCCGTGTGTGTGTGTGTCCGTGTGTGTGTGTGTGTGTGTGTGTGTGTGTGTGTGTGTGGTGTGCGATGTTGGCACTGTCAGATCAGGATTGGACCCCTCTGACCCCAGGGTAGCCAGTTCAAAGACACCAGCTGCTCCTCGGGAGAATAAGACCGTCTGCCCCTGTGAAGAGTTACAAGCCGTAGGAGCCCTACGTCGGGCCACGGTGCGTTGGCACGGACCCAGGGCAGTGAGGTTGCAGTGGGGTGTGTGTGTTTTGCACTTGCATTCTTCCACGCAGACTCGCTTTCCTTTCTAAGCTGGGTGCTGTCGCGCGTGTGTATAGGCTGATGGAGGCGACGGCGATGAGAACATTCTGACAACCCGAGGAGAGATCATTAGCGGAGCACCCCTTTCCAGCATATTTAAGGAAAATGGGAAAGCTGTTTTCAATGTGTTTTTTCAAGTGAATTTTTTGTTCTCCATTAGCTCAGGTTTGCTAGGTGTGGGGTGTGGAAGCAGGAACCTGGGTGATGCAGCGTTAGCTGTTGGATTGCGAACAGAAAGTTCGGGGGTTTCACGCCACCCACTACTCTGCAGAAAAGCTCTCCTTACAGTTACCTTACTGGGAGAGTGTAAGGCAGGCGCCCTCAGACTACGGCCCGCGGGCCACATGTGGCCCGCCAAGGACATTTATCCGGCCCGCCAGGTGTTTTTTCCCGGTTTTGTTTTTTACTTCAAAATAAAATACGTGCAGTGTGCATAGGAATTTGTTCATAGTTTTTTTAAAACCACAGTCCAGCCCTCCAACGGGTCTGAGGGACAGTGAACTGGCCACCCTGTTTGAAAAGTTTGAGGACCCCTGGTGTAAGGAGAACCTCGTGTCCGTCCTATCGGGTCCCTGCAAGTTAACATCGCCTCAATAGCAGGAGGTGGGGTGGGTAGAACTAAACACTCAAACGTATCAGTATTTCATTTACACAGTTCATCATGAATAATTACATGAAAAAATGATGTTAAAACAATCTTGTTGAGTGAGCTTAAATCTGGAGGCTTGAAATCCCACCGCCCCGTAAACAAAACGCCCCTCTCCTCTAGGCTTGCTAGACTTGGCCACATTTTACAGAGAAAAACGCCTGAAAAAGCTCTGCCAACAGACCATCAAGCAGGGGATCCGAGAGGAGAACGCTATTGCGCTGCTTTCCGCGGCTGTGAAGTACGATGCTCAGGTGAGAAAAGCATGCTTTCAACTAACTGACTGACCCACCTTTGGGGAAAATGGAGTTAGGTGTCCCCTCCTCCGTCATGTTAAAATCAGCCCCAGGGACATGAAAGATTTACTGTCAAAAAGCAGAGTCACAAAATGCTAGGAGCTGTATGAAATCCCGGTCGAGGAAATCCAGAGAGACAGTCACTGGAGTAACGGTCACGTAAGGTCATGGCAGGGGACGTTGTGGGCACGTGGGGAGCTAAGGGCTGATTACAAGGAAGAAGAAAAGCTTGTGAAATTGATTGAATTTTCAATATGATTGAACTCTTGAATTGTATGACATGTGAATTCTATGTCAATAAAACGATTTAAAAATAGGGGGGAAAGTGGTCATTGACTGTTAGAATGGTCAGGGAAACTATAAAGAAAGTGATTGATCGAATTTCAGAAAGATCTCTAAAGCCTATTGAAATTCTTATCTCCACCCAAAATTAATGCCACAGAGAAAATGAGGTGGTATTATAAAAATAGAAAGTAGAAAAAACAGAAAAAAAAAAAAAGAAAGTAAATAATACACTATTTTTACTCCATTTGTAGAAAATCTATATGTGCCATGCAGTGGTGAGGTTTAACACGGGGAACTAATGGATAGTCCTTTTGAAAAAGAAAAAAGAGTTTGAGAAGATGTTCCAAATAACAAACAGTTCTATTAAGAATGACAAATCACCACAAAAACAGGGTGTAATTTTTCATTTGTCCAACAAAGCTGTTTATCCTTAGAAATACTATGTTGTTGTGAAGGAACCCTGGTGGCGCCCTGGGTTAGGTACGGGGCGACCAACTGCAAGGTCAGTGGTTGAAACCCAGAGAAGCAAGCGGAGGTCGTCCGCTCCTGTAAAGAAGCTGCTACCCAGGCTCAGAAACCCTTTGTGGGAGAGCCGTAAGCCTGTTACCGCAGAGCCAGGAGGGGGTTTGCTTTGTTGCGTGCATATTCTAACGCAGAGTGACGCCATGTGACAGAGCGGAACTGCCCAGTGGGGTTTCCCACACAATCATCTGTACAGGAGCAGACTGCCACGTGTTTTCTCCTACAAAGCAGCTGTGGGGTTGGGCTTAGCAGCCAAGTGCTTACCCTTGCACCAGAGGCTCAGAAAACAGACATTTGCCTAAACCGCTTATGAGAATGCCAATTGGTACCATCTTTCTGAAAGTCAATTTGGTAATAAATATTAAAAACCTAGCAGATATAGGTCTTGAACTAAGGAATTCACTTGCAAGAATTTAGCTCAAGTAAGCAAGCATGCGTTTGGACAAAAATTTGCTTCAAAATGTTCACGGCAGCATTGTGAACATCTGCGACATGTCAATGTGAACACTAGAGGATTATTTAAACGATGGGATATTAGTATTATGAAATTATAGAGATATGCCAGGTATGTCATTAAGTGAAAACCTCTGATCCTATTTTCGTAAGCATACGTATTCAGATTAAGAAGGCTAAAATTCATGATCTCCATGGATAAAGAAGGAAAAGTGTAGTTAATAGTTTACAGCGCTATTACGGATGGTTTCCGTGCTCTTTGGTTGGTTGTGTTTTCGAGCAGTGACCATGTATGTTTCAATAATAAAAGGAAAGCAAGCCTCTGGTAGACCTTACTTTTCAGGAAACGAGCCATTACTTCTTGGAGTTATCAGGCAATTTCCTTTGGGTTCTAAGAATACCGTTGCCCTTTTCCTTTCTTTACATAAATATGCTTATTAGGTAAAATGTAGAAAATACAAAAAGGAAATGACTCACCAGTGAAAGAATGTAGATATATTTATACAGCTCCTCTGATTTTTTTCTGGGTTGCACACATGTATATCCATGCATATCTCCAGGGTTTTGGTTTGTTTTTTGTTTTTTTACTTAACATTTAAAATAATATGAGAGGAATTCTGATGATTGCATAATAACTCACCCGGAGATGGTGGCATTCAAAGCGTAGTGTAACTGTGTTTGAGCTCCATCAAGGGACTACTATGGTAGCTGGCTGCTGACAGCAACGCAAAGTGCTTCGTGACCAAACAAATCGATGGGTTTTTCTGGAGTTCTCCACTGGGCTTCGGGGGTATCTGTCAGATTTGGAGAGGGTGATATTGTTTCTCCCCTTAAACCAAGCTAAATTTCCAAGACTTTTCTAGATTCCCCATTCATGTGAATTATTTGCATGGTTAACTGACAGCCTTTTTTTCTAGCGTAAGGTTCTTGAGAAATGGCAGGGATTTATTTGGCTCACAAGCATATCCCCAGAGCCTAGCCTAGTGGGAAGCGTAGTAGATGCTCATTAGTCTTTTGTTTAATGAATGGTCCACTTTGGATCATAGAGGCAATCTTCCTATAGCCTGTACAGTTAATTATTGCCCCATAAATTAGCAGAAGACCCTAAGTAAAACAATTGTATAAATGCTTATAATAAAAGCTGGAGTCAACAAAAAGGAAGCCGGGTGGCACAATGGTTAAGTATTCTGTTGGGAACAGAAAGTTTGTTAGATCTCACCCAACTTCTCCACAGGAGCAAAACCTGGTGATGCGTTTCTATAAAGATTACAGCCCAGAAAGCCCATGGGGGCACTTCTAGCCTGTCACATGGGGGTGCTGTGATTCAAAAATCAACTCCAGGACATCTGACAACAACAATAAAGGGCAGCGTGTTTGCTCATTTTCACCCACTGACTAATTATCGCACAAGAAACTCTTTCAGCTACTAACCGAGTCTCACTCATGCTGGAGGTACTAAAATCATGCCTACCAGGCAGTATGAGCTAGCCCTGTTGTCAGCACAGTTTGCATCTCATTTCTCAAAACAACACATACGCATTGTTACCAGTCCCGATGTACATGCGAGGAAACCATGGCCTGGAGAGAGTACATACCCTCTCAGGAGGCTAGTAAAGCCCGAACTGCCAAGCTGGCACTCAAGCCAAGATTGGACACAGAGGAAAACCACACCAATAGTCACAATCCTCTACGTCGGCAGTATCCGTTCATCAATTCCACACCTATTCACTTAGTGCCGGTTTGGGGCCCAGCACCAGACGGGGCACTGCTCTGCCCTCGTGTCACGCACTCTGGTGAGCGGAGATGGACAGCCGAGAAGTACATACCGTGTGCAGTGTGCCAGGCGGCGGCAAGAGATGTGGGAACAAGAAAGGGAGGTGGGAAGTGCCAGGTGAGGGAACTCCCAACTGGTGGCAGCTCCACAGGACTTTTAAGGGCCTGACCTTGTGGAAACAGTGCCAGGAGGCTAGAAGGATGATCAAGTGAAAAGGGCCGAGTCTGGATAGGCTAAGGAGTAGGTAGGTAGTTGGTGAGTTTTGGGACACCCTGGGGTGGAGGCAGGGCATCCTGCAGAGCCTGGGAGTCTGAGGTATGCTTGTGTGTGCAGCATGCCTGAGGGGCACATACTGCGCTTGCTGGCACTGCCCTCTCCCCCCTCTCCATTTTATTTTTCAGTGCAGTAGACAGCAACATTAAAAAAAAAACAACCTTCTAACAATCTAGAGTCCATGACTTTGAATGGAGTGTAGTCTAGTGAACCTATGTGAATGAACCACATTCTTCCTGTCGTACCCGGTTTCCAAGTGAATCAGGACCACACCGAACTGGTTGAATCAGCAGCTTTATTGGAGTTTTGGTGTCCAATCACAAGGGCAAACGCTGACGAGGGGGCTGAAGAGCTAGGGAACTTCCCACCGGTCCTCACTCGGTGTGAGCATGGGCAGTAGCCCACCAAACTTTGGGATCCAGGTGGCTCTGGGCAGGAAGACTAATGCGGAAATAGCAAGCTTAAGCAATGGAAAACTAGAGCAGCACGAGTCAGCAGGTTAGCAGATGTGCCTTAGGGTACTTCAGTGGCATGTGCTGTGCTGCCAGGTGGGTGTGTGGTATTTTACTGGTTTTGTCACTGCCACTCACCCAGGACTGCTAGCGGCAACCCTGCTAGGATTCCACGGTGACACGAGAGGCCTGCCCAGCTCTGTTTAGGGATGAATGAAACCCGTCACTTGTTTCTAAGGAGCTCTGGCGGTGTAGTGGGTTGCCCATTAAGCCACTAGCCACATGGTTGAATCCAGCAGCCACGTCTCAGGAGAAAGTTGAGGCGGCTCCTGTAAAGATTCACAGCCTTGAAAGCCCAAAGGGGAAGTTCTAGTTTGTCCTGTCGGTTGGAATTGACTCAACCCATCAATGGCAGTGGAGTTTTTTTTTGTTTTGAACTTGTCTCTTAGATTAATTGGAAATGTCTTGTAGACTTCTGAGGACACAGGGATGTATCTCAGTATGGCTGAGTTTTTATTTTTCCATATTTAGAAGTTGCTGTAAGTTAGGTGTTATCTATGGTGTCCTTGAGTAAGGTGATGTATGCTGAACCGCTAACTCGAAGACATGCCAGGCCATCTGTTTCCAACACAATCAGCCTTCGAAAACCTTTTGGAGCATGATTCTACTGACCACCATGAGTCAGGGAGATGTGTTATCGACAAAAGGAAGCGTTATAGTGAGAAATATACATAAGAGTCGCTTGGAAATGATTTGGGGCCTCACGAGGTTTTTGGTTTTTTTTTAAGTTCCTGGGAAAATTCCGTTACCTTTTCATTTCATTTTTCCATGAACTTTCGAAGCCCCTCTGAGATTTGTATAAATTAGCTTCAGTGACATCGAAAGGACATTTAAAAAGGTGACTACCACCTGGCAGGCCTGCCACCTTTTTGCCGGGCTTCCCAAGAGCCACTTGCATTCTGACCCTCAGACTTACAATCGTGTGTCGTGATCAAGGGAACGCTGCTCGATTGCCCGTTGGCCCTGAGTGCGTTTCAGTAACTCAGAAAACCCCAGGCGGCGGCGCTTCTGTAGGCAGCCAGCCTTGAGAGTGTGGATTCCTTAAAAGCATTTTCCTGGGTAGGATGTGTGGTCCGATGAAACCCAAGCACCTCCCCTCGTTCTTCTTGGGAAGGCAAAATAAGAGAGGTCTGGTAATGCCTCAAGTTCTCGGCATTGGTCTTCATTTTTATGGCTGACTCTTGCCATTCATCCTCTCTATGTGATTGTTTCTTGCCACGTTCTTTATCTAGGTCTACCATACACCCTGAAGGTGACTGGCATCAACTCCATGACCACAAGTGACCCTTTCCATTGAGAATTCCACATTCTTCCATTGCCCCTAAATGGAATTTTTAGCACCCTTTGGAGATTCCAATTTTATCCCCTTTTCTGAAGAGGAAAAATCAGGGCTGTAGGTGGGTTGAGTAAGATTTCCCGAGGAACTTCTCCTGGGACTGCCCTGCTACACTCAAAGAATGGGCAAGTGCATTGTCTTGATAGAAAACAATGTAACAGTGCAACTTGTCCTCGTCTTTTTCCCTCCCAGTTGCTGTTTCCCATTTGGTTAAAACTTCTTCATAGTAAAAAAAAATCTATCAAGATGACTTCTTTGCAATCTCAAAAAATAGTCTCCATCACCTTATGAGCTGACCTGTCGGCATTGAGTTTTGCTTGCCCGGATGTCCTTGGAAGCCACAGTGTTGTTTGGACCTTTCTCTGGAATGGCACCCTATCGAGCCTACCCTGTTTCCCTGAGAGTAAGACATCCCCCCAAAATAAGACCTACTTACAGTTTTGCCTCTCGCTGAAATATAAGGCAACCCCCGAAAATAAGACCTACTTAGTTTCGCCTCTCGCTGAAATATAAGGCATCCCTCCGAAAATAAGGCCCCCCCCCCCAAGCTACTGTAACTCTGGACTCTTGGACTCTGGACCGTAGCGGCGGGTGCCTCCGAGCAGCTCACTGTTGGCTGCAGCGCAGCCGGAGCAGACAGGAAGGGCGAGGTCTCTTTCAATAAAACAGTAAACAATAAATGTGTACCGTATTCTTCTTCATGGAAAAATAGGACATCCCCTGAAAATAAGACCTAGTGCATCTTTGGGAGCAAAAATTAATATAAGACACGGTCTTATTTTCGGGGAAACAGGGTATGCTAACCAAGTTTCATTCAGAATAAACCCCTGCATGTATGACCTGCAACCCTAGTAACAATACTTTTTGACTTGCCCTGGTTCTTAGAAATATTTAAAGCTCTAAGGGGATTATAAAAGAGAGACACAGTGCTTTTAACCAATAATGGAAGTGGAATGTAGGCTGTAATTAGGAACGGAGGTAAGGAGGACTCATACTTAAAAGCTTCTCTCTGTGAATAAGAAGAATTGGTGCAGAGAAACTTTAACGTTTTATTTTGCCAGATTTAAATGTTCACAAGTATGAATTCATGTGCGATCATTATAAAGCTGTCCTTGAAGTATTGTCGTGTCCACATTTTCTCCTCACAAGACCTTTTCCCTTGCCCGCCTGCGGTAGGCATCTCCATGTTGTGTTGCATTAGGAAGTGCTTATTTGTTATTAAATCACTGTTGTGGTTCTCCCTAGGACTTGGAAGAATTCTGCTTCCGATTTTGTATCAACCACTTGACTGTAGTCACACAAACGTCAGGCTTTGCAGAAATGGACCATGACCTTCTGAAGAACTTTATCAGTAAAGCCAGCCGAGTTGGAGCTTTTAAAAATTGATCCTCGTCTGCAGGAAAGAACCTGTGATGCTTTCTGTTTCCTGCCTGAGAGATACAGAAGAGTAACTCCTCTTCAATTAATATCACTTATGCGGAGCTTGGAACGCTACAACTATCTCGATACTTACTTCCAAGCTAAAAAGAAAATTGGTGGCCAGTCTTTTCCATCTGCCTACATCCCATTGATAGAGAAGGTATCAAAGGTTCTGATGAGACGTTATTAAGCTCATGGGAAAGAAACTGAAGATGGATTATGTTACTTACCATTTCCTCTTTTAGATCATGGAGGCTAGCACTTGGATACTTTGGTCTCAACGTGTGCTGTACCGACCAAGCGTTCCCCTGGTCGGCATCACGTGTGAAACTGAACAAGGAACATCGTATCTAGCACAGTGCCCCACACTTGTAGGCAATCAATGAATTGATTAGCAATCTTAAGGGTGCCCTTGGAACAGTTTTTAATTGTGGGATACCAATGAAGGAATAATTTATACTTAATAAACTAGCAGTCTATAATTACGGGAGGTTCAACTTTCCTGGTACAGCGTTCTGAGAGAAAGTGGCCAATTTAGAGCTCTGATTAGAATTCACAAAAGGCTTTGGCAATTATAGTGTCTAAGGCCCAAGGGCTAATTTTAATTCTCTATTTACTCTGAGTCATTAAGATTTCATATGGGATCATTTAGTATGCAGTACAATCGCTTGATGAATGTTATTTCTGGGCTCATTTACCTTCGTAATTGCACCAGGTCCTTGGCTTTTCTACTGTGAAAAGGGATTTGCCATCTGTAAGGTAAAACGACCACATATTTTTTCGCCATTGACTTTGGTGGCACCATAACAGAAATCTCTTAACCTGGCACCCAGTATAATTAGAAAGTACTAGGTGAAAGGGGATTAACATTTACATATTTCATGGACAGAATAAACCAAAATGAGATACATTTGTGCTTTTTAGGTCAAGCAAATTCTCCAACTGCAAGAGAAACTGAAAGGGCCTATTGAGTCAGATTCTTCTAATATGTGTCTCAGTATATGATACTATGTAAAGGAAAGCTTTTGGAACTAGAAGCCTTGTTCTGATGCTGGACCATTTGAAAATAAAGTGCTTATACGCAGACAGAATGAACAGATGTGTGGTCTTTTTTACCCCTAAGAAGTGGCAGCATTATATAAGTAACCTAGTGTTTCCTATATGAATAGAAGTCTTGTCTCCTAGATGTACCAAAGTACATATTTATTAAAATTTGTCGCCTAGATGTCCATATTTGATAAGCTTTTTTTAATTGTCTCATGTATTTTATTTTATTTTTATTTTTTAACATTTTATTAGGGGCTCATACAACTGTTATCCCAATCCATACACACATCAATTGTGTAAAGCGCATTTGTACATCGTTTCGATAAGCTTGTTTTTAAAGTGACTACTCAGATAAGGTCACAACAGATCTCACCTTAGAAATAAATGCATTATAAACAATTCATTACTTTTTGGACTATTACCTTTTATTGATGAAATGGCCGTTAAAAAAATCACTTTATTAGGGGCTCCTACACTGGGGACTCCCAATCCATCCATACATCTATTGTGTCAAGCACATTTGTACCTAGGTTGCCATCATTATTTTCAAAACATTTTCTTTCTACTTGAGCCCTTGATTTCAGCTCATTTTTCCCCCCTGAAGTAACTTTTTTTAAGTTTCCTCATTCTACCCCCAGCTCTTGGCAACCAACCCCTCATCTTCTTTTGTTTCAGTAGATTTGCTTATTTTAGAATGTTCATAAAAGTGAAATCAAGTAATATTTGACTTCTTGTGTCTGGCTTACATCAGCTCAGCATGATGTTTTCAAAGTTTAGCCTGTGTAAGAACTTCGGACCCCTTTATAGCTTCCCGTCAGATAGGTTTATCATCATTCACTTATTTAATGATGGGCACTTAGGGTGAATGGCGAACGAAATCCTTGAGTTCTCGATTCAGTTCTTTGGGATATACACTTAGGAGTGGAATGGTCAGGTCCTAGGGTAATTCTGTATGGAACTTTTTGAGGAACCGCCAGACTTCTCCGAAGCGGGTGCACGAGGGCTCCCGTTTCCTGGGGATGACTTGCATTTCTCTAACGGCTACTGGTATGGCACATCTTCTCATGGGCTCACGGGCCACGTGCCTAGTTCCTTTGGACAAATGTCTGTTCATGCCCTTTGCCCATTTCTAAGTTGTCGTAAGTGTTCTCGTTGTTGGATTTTTAGAATTCCTTTTCGATTTGGGGGTAGTAAACACTGGGCCCAAACAGGACCGTTGTCAGGCGGGCACAGGCCCGGGTGGCATTTCATTGTTGTATACGGGGTTGATAGGAATCACAGCTGACTCAGCAGGCCCCCATCCACAACAAACCATTACTGATACACGGGGCTTAAATAGTCTTTCCTGTTCTGTGGGGTCTCGTTCCACTTTCTAGAAGATGCCCCTTGCTTTTCAAGTATTTTTAATTTACATTTATTTAGCTTTCCTCTTGTTGCTTATGTTTTTGTGGCAATATATTAAAAACCCATTGCCTAGAAGTCTTAAAGCTCCCCATCCCCCTGTTTTTCATAAGAGTTTGATGGTTTTAGCTCTTATACCCAAGTCAGTAATCCATGCTAGGTCAATTTTTGTAGGTGGCGTGAGGTCTGGATCCAGTTTCATTCTTTCGGATGTGGAGGTTGAACTGACTTGGCACTCTTACTGGAAATCGACAGACCAGAGATGTATGCATTTATATCTTGATTCTATATGCTATTCCACTGGCCGGGTGAAATCACTTTTGACCCATTAGTTTCTTCTTGAAAAACTGCTTCTCCAATTTACTTATTTTGCAGACCTTACCTAGTAGAGGCAAAAAAGTATGGCTACAACCTTTAAATAATAATATTTTTTGTGGGGAACTGTATAGCCCTATTCTGTTACTATTTTAAAAGTTAGCCATTTACTGTTGCTTTCTTTCTTTTTGATAACTTGCATTTTTGTCTACTCAAATTTTCAGACACAGGAATTACCCGCAACTCTCACTTCTGGCAGTTAGACACGTGCAGCCTTCATTTCCTGACTCGTTTCCTGACCCGCCTATGCGAGCTGTAATGAACTAACTAGGCCTTTTTCCTTCTTGATAGTGTCTGCCAAACCTGCCTTCCTCTTTCCTATTGCTGATGGTTTTCTGAAGCTTCTGAACGTTTTTAACCCCAATGAATTTCATGTAAAACTTGGGAGTAGGCCATGGGAAACACAACTTCACGTGTGAAAATTGACAGTCCTTTAGCAAACACTTGCCAGTGTTCCAGTGTTGGAGGAATATAGGATGGCACTTTATCTAGATGTTCTCAAGAACCTTATTTTGGGTCAGTTTGCAGTATCCGATGCCCTCTGTGCGGCTTTCTTGTGGACTGTCAGAATAACCCCTGGGAAGAGTCAGGGCGCCTCATTTCCTGGAGACCCTTTTATAAAGCCACAAATCGGCTGGTCAGCTAGCAATATGTGAGAGAAAAGGTCCACTTCATCATGATAATGCACCAGAAACCAGTCCACTAGTTTATCTTAGATTCTCTAACTTTCCTAATCCCAAGGAAAATCCGTGTTTCCAATGATTTTTACCTTAATTAGTTAAAAGTTTACAGGAAGCAGTATCTCAACTGCTGACCGAGATCTGTGACAATACCAGGCAATGGTTCAGAATGGTAAGTCCAATAATAAGTACAATAGCTTAGAGCTCTATACAGTACACAGCAAATCATTTCTAGACCATAACATGGTGCCAGAAGTTGTTCTTGACTGGTGATAATGAAATGGAAGCCACTGGATGCTGCGCAGTTTTCCTGGCCCCTTGCAGAGTGCCTGGGACTGCAAAGCCTTGGGAGCAGTCATTCAGGGCACCACTGGTCTCTGTACTCCTGAGTCAGGAAGAGGAGGGGGTTGGGATGCGCGGTTCTTTGTTGCCATGAGCAACTGCCTCTTGCCATATTCGAATAGGATGGTACCCTACTACCCTGACTGAACATTATGATTAAAGACTTTTAGAAACAGTACGATCAAAGGGGGGTAGCAAGGAGAACAGAATTTAAAATTCTCAGACTCCACAGCTTTTCTGGAGCCATCCGGGCAGGAAAAAGCCCTGAAATGATTGCCCTGACATCACCTTTAAACTTTAAAGCTTAAAAAACATAAGGGGCTTTTAAAAGTGCATGGAAAATGTTATCTTTTCATTCCATTTTTGGAATTAAAGCAAATTTTTTGAAGTCCCATCATGTTCCCCTGAAGTGTTTTAAAACAATAGTTTAGCTAAAATAATAAAAATATTTGCCTCAGCATTTTGTTCTTTTAAGATTTATACGGGATCCAAATGACAACAGCTTGAAGGCTTACCTTGGAATCTTTGGGAGCGGTGAGGGAGAAACCATTCAGAAAAGGAGGGCGAGAATCTCTGCACAACCTGAAGGTTGTAATGTCACTGAACATTGAATTGGTGTTTCCTTTGTTATGTATATCCTCAACAACCAAACAAAATTGGGGGAGGGGGAAGGAAGCAATTACAAGTTACAATATAATCTTGTCTGGCTTTTTAGCCTCTCATGCTATTATCACAAGAAACAGATTTGGAAAATTGTAAAAGGAAGAAAAATCATGCCTGACCCTTCCTTTTAATGCCATGTTTACCACGGCATGAAAACACTTTGAAGGTCCCCAAACTATACTCATTTCCTCTTGGTAGAGTAAGGTAACATGGGACCATTATCTATTAAAGGAACAAATGATGTTGGATCCATAAAATAAATGTGAACTTTTCATTTTTTTCATTATCAGACATGTCGACATTAAATATATTTGGGTATAGTTCCCAAATACTGGACACATAAAAAGATTTATAAGAAAAGATAACTATCTCAGCTTCAACCCAAGTGCTTATAATCTCATTCAGATATTACATAGTGTTACTATCACATAGCTCTATTAAAAAACAAACAAACAATGCACTTGTGGTTGAAATGCATTATTTCTAGAAGCGTGGTTTCAAGTTGGTCCAAAGAAAGCTATCCAGAATCCTAACCAATGCCGTGGTGAATGCTATACTGACCCTAAAAAGGAGGGACAAAGATGTGAGCAAGTGTAGGTGTTGGGCTGCTAACAGAAAGATGTGTTGTTCAAATGCACCACCCATTCTGAGTGACAAGGATAAGGCTGGCAGTAACAACAGTTTGTAGGTTTTTACTTTACCATTTGCCCCAGAAAAATAACGAAAAGTAAATAACTATATGAATCTGAACTAGTCTCCTTTGTTATATCCTAAAGCAGGGGTGTCAAACTGGTGACCCGCAGGCCGTATGCAGCCCCCGAGGTAATTTTTTGTGGCCCACGATGCTATGAAATAAAATGAAAATAGTAAAAAATTGTTATGAATAATGCTTAGGGGAGATCGAGGCAATACCATACACACAATTCCCTGGTTATATTTTATTTCAGAGCTTGTGGTCCACAAAAAAGTACCCTGCGGCCCCCGGGCCACCAGTTTGACACCCCTGTCCTAACGTCTAATTGAACAATGGAATACCAAGTAAATCTCTAGAAATGATCCATTTGATGCCATTCCAATGAAAAGTGTGAGTGGTCCTGACTTGTCCTAAGAGTCTGCCTTTCGCGTACGATCGCCATCCACCCTTGGTCTAGCCTGTAGCATAGGCTTGCTGCTTTGCTTGCTCAGCCCTTGTCTGCTTCTGTTTTCTTGGGAATAAGCATATTGCCGTTCAAGTAAAGCACTTCAAAGTTTTGTCTTAAGACATCGTATTATTTGAAAGCAAGAGAACTCCTTACATGAAGCCCTTTGTGCTAGATGCGTTTCATAACTTTTGGAGTTTAGACTATGGTGCATGCATATACATACCTCAGCAGTACAGGGTCAGCTCCCAGTAACCAAGCATGTATAAGTAGCTCTGTACCAGGTTAGATATAAAGTTTTGACGTCATGCAGCTTTTAGTGCAAACTGTGCAGAGCCACTTGGCTTTAAGAGATTTTTTATTTGAAATTGGCAGGTACAAGGTTGTGGACTTGTAATATATATTAAGGATGCTTTGAAGAGTTACAAAAGGGTGAGTCTGGAGCAAGTATGTCTTTTCGTTGAACACGTATATTAAAGGCCTCTCCTCTGAGGCATCCTTAGTATCTGGTTCAGTGTTCCTCCGCTTGAGGTACTCAGACCCCTTCTCAAGACTGACTGGGCAGACCGACACTAGCTCCACCTCCAGCACTCTGCCTTCCCCCTGGTCTACCACACCTGGTATAGATAGTCCCACTTCATACCAGGGGCTTTTCCTGTCTCAGGAAGGTGCTGTTAATGCATGGTTCACCCCCTCATCTCCTTCAGCTCTTTGCCCAAATCGCTTGTGTCCTACACGGACTAATCTGTTTTAAATGTTAAAACTCCCCTCCCCCAAGTCTCCGATTTATTTTTTCCTCAATCAGCTATTTGTCTTTTCATCACTTATTTGCTTGCGCTCTTCCCTGCAACTATAATATGGATTCCATGAGCACGAGGATTTTGGATTTATTTAGTGATTGTTGTATCTCTAGCATCTTAAGAACTTGGTCAATATGTGAATGAAACGCAGACTTATATAACACACACAAGTACAAGTATACATGTACAAAGGTTCTTAAAAAGTGTGTACACTTGTGATAAGAGTTGTATGAGCCCCCCATAAAGTGATTTTTAAAAATCACCCAAAAAGTGGGTACACATCTCTATTTATGCTAATACTTTCACATCATAGGAAAAAAATACTGACTTTAAGAACATTTATTTTCTTTCACATACTTAGAAAAATATACACCTGCTTTTTTTCCTCCTCCAACAAAGGGGTTCTTGGTGCTCTGGCTACATACGGATTAAGACTCCCCACAATTGGGGAGTGAGGAGCCAGAACGGGGAGATGGGCTACATGAAGGCCAAACAAGGCAATGCCAGGTGGTGTTACAATTTTGAAGAATGACACAAGCGCAGTGGTTTCAGTTTGGGTGATTGGGGAAAGCCCACTGAGCCAAACCCTGGAAGATGATATAACCAGCTGTGCGAATCTCGAGAGGCCGGTGCAGACAGAGGGAACCGCAGCAGGGATCAGAGCCCCGGGCAGGGAGAGGCCTGGCACGCTAAGTGCTCCCGTCAGGGTGCTGCAGTGTGGTTGGCCCACAGGAAGATCGTACCGGAGAGGGTGGAGGGTGTGGGGCCACTTCAGTAGCTGCCTGGCTGGTTTTCGAGTCTGGGTACTTAAATGGAGAAGCACGGGGAGCTTTAAAGCCTAATTTTGCATTTTATGGAGTTGGAAGATAAAGAGGAAAGAGAGAGAGGGGGGGAAAAAAAAACCAGAAACCCAAACCGAGAGACCAGTTAGAAGCCTGCAACAGTGATCCAAGCAGGAGCTACAGACGACGCTTGGATTATGGGCTGGAGCTAGAATTGAGTAAAATGGGGAAACCAGGATAGAAACGGTATTTTTGTTTGCGTGATTTTGATTTCTATTTTGAGAAGTGTTCGGGGTAAAGGGCGCCAAGAAGGAATCGAGGGTTGTATTGGCTGTGAGAGGCCTGACCTCAGCCAAGAGGTCAGGACTTGAGGCATAAACGGGATGTTCAGCACATGGGTCCCATGTAAAGGCCAAGAGTTCACACCGTGGAGTTCAGCTACAGAAAGACATTTGTGCACTTAATACAGACAGAGACAACAACATCAGACCATTAACACTCTTAACTACTTTATTTTAAAATAGGTGAACTATTAGTTGTAGAAAGTAGTAACATAGCAATTTTAAATGTATACTTGTAACCAATACAAAAAAGGAACAAAGCAATATCTGAAGCTAGTTAAGAAATCTCAATACACGATTTCTGAAGTTGCTAAAACTCTAGCCCTAAAGTGTGCGCAGTAGCAAAATATGCAGAAATAGGCCTTGACCTAACAGCTACATGAGTGATGTGATATGCATGCACAAGTTAAAAGGGAAAGGGAGTAAAGCTTTCTAGTGTCTTTGTTGTCCAGGTAACTGTGGAAGTCATGTTCAAAACTTAATTGAGCCAAAAATGTTTTTGGTTTTCTAAGAAACAAGACCGGGTTTCTTTTTTAAAAGGTTTCTGGGTTTAGACAAAATTGTTTTTTCTAACAGAGACTTGATGCTAACTTAAATACCACTATTTTAAATCACACCATCTCTAAATAAGTTAATCATACAAGATAGTTTAAATACACCTTTAGGTGCCAAAGCAGGGAAAGCGCCTCTTTTACTAATGAAGCCATTTTAATTTTACGGTTTTGCACAAAGTCAGATAAAAGCAATAACCCACAAAGACCTTTGATTACTTGCAATTGTGGACTAGAGATAAGCTGGCTTCGAAGGGTCTGTGTTAGCCCATGCTGGCTTTCAGGAAATAATAACGGACAGTCCCAAAGATACATCCCAAGAGACCATTCTAGCGGAAGCACACGTTCCCAAATTCAGGAGAGCAGAATACTTGTTATGGGATGCAATGAGGAAAAAACTCTAATGGGGATGGGGTGGAATTTAAGGCTCCTATAGTTAACAGTCTGCTTATAGAGTAAGATTAATTTATATCTTGATTCTTCAGAACCGAGAAACATTAGAAAGTGCACTTGGAGTATACTGCATTAAGGTCCTCTATAGTAAAGTTCTAGCTTTACTACTTCAACTTTATAACTTCAGTGATCTAAATAATATAAAAACCATACGTTCTATTAATAACCCTCATTTTAAAGCATGAGTCAGATGAAGAAAAGAATTGATAGAAATTCTTACAAGTGCTGAGGTATGAAACGTGTCGGTATGAGAGCATCATGTTTATACTTGGCTTTCTGCTTGTATTCAAAAACTACAAAGCATCAAATACACAGAGAGGACATCAGAATCCAATAGCAAAGTAAAATATAAACTGTAAAAATTAGTAATTGTCTTTTTTTTCCCCTAGTTCCTACTACCTGCTAGAGCAGAAGAGTTCAGGGTAAATCAGGAGTCATCCAAAGTGCATTTGGAAGACAGGCCACATTTTCGGAGGGTGTTCACGTTAAATTAAAAACACATACACAGACGAATGAAGGCTGTAGCAAGCATTATACATAGGCATCAGACAAGTGTCCAGAAAGGTAGGCTCGGGGGGTTGCTGGGACTTGCATTCTCCTCGTGGCTTCACTGTTTGGAAAGCAGAGCAGCCGCATTGAGGGTATGGAAACCAGCTGCTACAACTTGTTAAAGAGCAAGACTTACACAAGATTTTCAACCTTGTACATTAACGATGACTGCAACGTTGCAAGTAAGAATCTCACATACAAATTCAACGTGAGTCTGCACTCTTCTTTTTACATCTGAAATGAGAACTAAAGAAGGGTATTAAAGGCAGTCCGAAACAGAACCCAGGAGACTTGTATCGTCGCTCTGGGGGAGAAGATGAAGCAAGAGGTGTACATGCTGCCCCACCACGGCCCTGAGATGCTCACTTTTCCTCCTTGTCTGAGGCGTCCGCGCCGTCATTCTTCTTCTGCTTCTGCATTCGTGTTCGCGTGGATGCTGGGAGAGGAGGCACAACTTCAATAACCCGGAAGGCGCTGGGCATGTTCGGAAAGGCCTGCCGCATGTGTGGTATGGCCGTGTCAAACAATGGCTCTCAAGGCCCCTCGGCCTCAGCTGACGTCCACATGTTTCTGATTACATATCCTGGCCAGTACTTTCCTGAACACAGATCACCAAAACATGCGAAACATCTATGTACAAATATTCTGGGGTACATATCAAGCACATGCATTTATCTACAGGTGTGTTAGAGCTCTGCTGGCACAGTGGGTTGCATGTTGGGCTACACGTTGAATCTGCGAGCTGCTCCACTGGAGAAAGACGAGGCCTTGTTTCTCTAACGATTTACAGTCTTGGAAACCCACAGCGGCACAATTCTGCTCTGTCCTATATGGTCACTATGAGTCAGAATCAACTTGATTGCTGTGGGGTGTGCAAATGATTAACGGACTGGATGCTAACTGAAAGTGCCGCCCAGAGGCACTTTGGAAGTATATTAGAACGGAAAAATTCTGAGCACTGTATTTGTGGAAGGCTACAATGTACTGTGGGAGCCCTAAATCCATTTTGAGCCTCCAGAGAGATCCAGCCTTCACTGAATTCTTCCTAACCATTGATTCTCCACATCAAGTTTTGCCCTCGGGCCGAATGTGTTTTTCCCAAACTTCCTGGCCAGCCCAAGGAAGGGCCAGCTCAGCCTCGGGAACTTGCCTGGGTGCTCTTGATGGAAATTGGGATGCTGTGGCTGCATGGTCAGGCAGTCAGAGGGCCGTGAACCAATCTTGTCATATTTTCCAATCTATAATAATGTGCATGTCTCAATCATGGTACCTTTACCACTTGTCTAGTCCTGACTGTAGCTGCGACTTCATAGTTTGCCACCAGCCATGGTTTTGCAACAATTGCTGGCAGCTACATGGTTCAGTCCTTGTACACCATTATAACTTCATGGTGATGGTCTCCCTGACACAGATGCTCTAAAAATTTGTCTTTTTCTTGTTTTTGGCCTGTTTACGACTTAATAAAGAAGACTCTATAAAATATATTTGAATTGGGGGGCTTTGTTTCAGAAGACAGGTCTGGCAATCTCCTTCTAAAAAAAATCAGCCATCGAAGCCCCCTGGATCACCATGAGTGGGGGCTGATTTAACAGCAACTGGTTTGATTTGGGTTTTACAGTTGGACTTAAAAAAAAAAAAAACCAGACCCCAAAACAAATGAAAAACAGATCCGTTAAAAATTAAAAGAGAATTTCATATTTTTAGGTGCCCCCAAAGATCGCATCTCGCACCTTCTTGAGGTAATTTTTATCTTGAGTCTTCAGAACCCAGGAACTCTTTCCAGAACCAGGGAATTCTAATGTTCAGAGAGCCCTTCTGGGGACTGCAGACATTAACTCACACCTCATTTAATTTGACAAGGATATTTTTTAAGTACTTGATACAACACAATAAAAGCAAAAGTCGAATATTTCAATGACTTAGAATTTCTTAAAGCTGATTATACCGCTGTGTTATGGGTTAGGTATTGGGCTGCTAGCCTGAAGCTGGTCGTTCAGACTCACTAGCAGCTACCTGGGGACAAGATGAGGCTGCCTACTCCCATAAAGACTTGCAGTCCCAGAATCCCTGTGGACAGCCCTGAAATGACTAGAAGGCAGTGAGTACAAACCCTGAAACCGAACTCCCTGCCATTGGGGACAGAGCAGAACTGGCCACAGGGTTTCTGAGGCTATTACTCTTCACAGGGTAGGAGTCACCCTTCTCCCACCGTGGCTGGTGCATTCGACTTGCTGACCTTGAGCTTAGGAGCCCAACATGTACATAACCCACTATGCCACCGGGGCTCCACTCTGAGCTTTCCGGTTGTGTGCTAACCTCTCTGAGGATCTGAGAGTATACCAAAGGCCCCTCAGCTTTAGGGGCAAAGGCTCCTGATGCTGCTTTCTCAGCACCTGGGCCTAGGGACAGTCACAGCCAAGTAGGGCACTTGGACACGTGCCGGCTACAGCATTTTGGAGCAGAACGATATACATCTAAACAGGAACAAAATGCTACAAAAATACGTATATTTATTTCAACCAGAGTTTGGTTATTGGTACCAGAGATCAACAAATACACATTCATTATTTTCGCTACTGCTCTAAGAGAGCCGTTACTAAATAAGCTTGTGTTAATCTTTTATAGTCTCCCAATGGCTTAGGATAGAATTCCATTTACCTTAACAACATTCTGCATAACTTGGAAAATAATGAGGTGTTCTTTAACAAAATACTGATGTCTAATAATGGAAAACTTCCTTTCAAGACTAATTTTTTAAACTTTCAAATTATGAAAGGTCAACAAGAGAAAAGCAAAAGATGAAATATTTCAAAATAAGTTGTGGTGAATTATATGTGCTAGATTTATAAGATTCCCTTTCCCTATATCTAACACTTTTTAAGAGTTCCTAGTATAGTTTTGCTATACTGATATATTTTCTAACCACATTTGCTAATGTGTGGCCAAGCAGTGTTTCACTTCTTATTCTTCATGGAAGATTCTAGAAAAGGTGAAGATGACCTTCACTTTACCTCATGTTTGTAGGTAAAGAATTAATTCTCAATGGAATTCCAACTGCATAAGAAAGGCTTCTAATTGAAGGGATTTTACGTACATTTTCCTACAAAGCGAAAAGTCTTGGCAAGGTATATAACTGTTTCTTTCAGTTACCTAAGGTGTAATGGTAGGTGTACTTACTCATTTCGGCGAGTTTCTGTTGAAATTTGGACTCCCCTTGGAGATGTTTACTGAAATTTTAAAAATACAAAACATTTCATATATATGTATGAATGAAAAACTAAAATTCTCACTACTGGTATTTTCAATGATTTATAAAATCTAAAACATATGATTCTGTACATTTTACCAGTGGTTTTTATAAAACACAATAGGTAACATTTTTCATAAGTGAGTATTTCAATATTTAATGTTCAAACTACAAATCTTATTAATAACTTTCTTAAGGGAAGTTTTTTAGTATCTCCTGTCTTCATTGACTTTAGCTATCGATGGTGTATTATTTACATGGTTCTTTTAAGGATGGTGTATTACTTACACGGTTCTTTTAACCTCAGGGTACATGCACACCTGCATTTTCAAAAGCCCTCATAACTTGCCAATAAAATGGGCGTAAAAGGAATCCGTGGCAACCAGGTGCAGAGGGGACGAATCCGAACCGTTCCTACCTTCCATCTGCTTCATCTGGTCCTTCAAGGTCAAAGCGTAGCTTCTTCAGTGGTTTAGGAGGGTTGCTTCCTTCAGCGCTTCTTTTGTGAGCACGCTCGCTGTTACACACCATCTGGTTTATTTTCTGAAACTTCTCAGAAGACTGTGAATTACAGAATTTTTTTAAACCGTTGAACACAGCCGTTTTGCAATTAGCAAAGAACTGTAGCTTGAAGTAAGTAAAATTCAATCAAATGGTAGCATCTTCACTTTCCATTTTTGAGTAAGAGAAATTGTAAGTGCAGAATAAATGCATCTAACTTGCCCAGATTAACACCTACTCTTGTTAAGTCCTCCTGTTTCTTCCCTCTGAGCTCCTATTCTTCCTCTAACTCTGACCACTACTCTGAAAGTCTTGGTCCCAAATTTTCAGGACAAAACCTGGACTACTTCCCACAGGTACTCAGAGTTGGAACAGCCTTCTGAAACCTTGTGTTTAGCAGTTTTGCTGTTATCTTGGGGACATAACAGAACTAGAGGGAAAGGGCACATCAATTTCATAATCACTGTTTGTTTGAGTCACTAGTTTGTTGGATAGTAATAAATAATTAATACAGATTGTCTCCCACTCCTGTAAGTCTACAAGCTCTCTGGAGGTGTAATACACACTCAACATGGGACTGATGAAGTACTGAAACCGATGGAAGGCCAACCAGGGCAGTGAGCCTAGAGTAACTACACGAAAGATTTCCCTTGTTGGGTCTCTTCGAAACAAAGACCGTAAGCATGAGAGCTGCCACTGACAAGGACATACAAACGTGTGTATCTGTATGGAGTGCCATGACCACCAAGGAGGGACTGGCTAGTGATGCTTGGATGTGCTGGTTACATATGAGAGTACCTCATGTCAAATCATATGTATTGTTGGTGAATTTTAAAACTTTTCATATAAAAAAATACTTACCCCAAATGATTCACCAATCGATACCAAGATTCTGTCAAGTTAAAGTGAAATACAAATTAATTAGTAATGAAAATCGTGTCTAGAAATGTCTAGAAATGAACATATACACCTCATTCTGAACTCTCAAGAACATGAACCACAGGCAGATCGTACTCATTTGGAACTTAGAATAAGTAAATCCACCGCTTTCAAGTTGATCCCATTCGCAGCCGCCCTGGAGGACACAGTGGAGCATTCCCTTGAATCTCCAAGGCAGGGATCCATACCAACCACACTACCACAGCTTCTCCTGTGGAGCGGCAGCTAAATTAAAACCAACAACCATTTGCTTAACAGCCGAGCATGTCACCGCTGTGCAACGCTGACTGCTGTTATGCACTGAGCTTGTCTCTCAGAATTACAAGTCTGCAAGAACATATTCTTTCCATGTTCTTACTTAAAGAGGAAAGAAAACTTTGGGGAAAAATTTTTTTAAGGTTACTCTTATTTAGTTCTTCATAAACCAATGGGAAAGTTACCCATTAAAAGTTCACATTCTCTCTTCTAGATCCAAGTTACATGTGGAGAACCTTATAATATTCAATAAGTAATCTAACTATGATCTATATTGACATATAATAAAAACTATTGACAATACAGTCTGGAATCAGAAATCGCTACTAGAACATTTGTCCTTGTTTGGACCATATAATTTCTCAATAATCATAAAGCTGAAGAATAACATTAGCCTCATGTAATTCAACACAGATTTGATCACATGCACATGGAACTGATAGATATATTTATAGGTTTCATTACCCTCCAACTTTTGGTATCTGGCCATTCATTCCATATGTATTAGGTGATTAATCAGAGTAAATATGCTATATAAGTAGCGTTAAGGTGCTCTCTTAATGCTTAATCAATGATTTTTCAGGATCTTCAGAAGATGACTTTTTTTGCTAAAGAACCAGTGGCAGTCCTATAATCAACTGTTAACTTGAATGAAGGGGTGGAGTCTAGCCTGTCAATCAGGTCATAGCCAATGAGGCCTCTGTGTGGGCATGGCCTTCTCCTGAGGAGTCTGGGAACTTCTGTCTTCCTCTCTGGATGCGGGACACACACACTCTCTGCTTCTTCTTCCTGCTGACAAGACATGGAGCCAAGCTGATGGAGTCAGAGCCCTGGAGCTGGAGGAGCCATGTGGAGACCCACACCAGTGCTGAGATGCTTCCACTGCCACTGGATCCACAAGACTTTCCACCCACTGGCCTGTGATCTTCCTGCATTCAGCATCAATTTATTGACTGGTATTGGACATATGGGCTAATATTGGACTTATGGACTTGATCTGGACTGGGCTGGGATGTTTTCTCAATATACAATTGTTCTTTTATATAAAGCTCTTTCTTATACACATATGTCTCTGGATTTGTTTTTCTAGTCAACCCAGACGAACACATTATGGTACCTTAGGTATGGAGTACCAGAGAAACAAATCATAAAGATGGAGAGTGGATGTTTGTTTGACCTCTGACCCAGGATAGTTCTTCTTCTTTGGCTAGCCAGAGGTCAGATATGGCCATGCAGTTTACTGGAAAGAATATGGCAAGTTAAAGCTTTGATTATTTAGTTTGGTGTTGTCTTTGGTTATTCCTGTTAGAAATGGTGAATATTAATGTGGTTAATGTACATTTTGAGATCAGGAGATGAAATCACCCCGTGAATTTCTCACAGACCATGCTGCTTGGTGAAAACGGCAGGCAGAAGGTCAAACTGGCTGACAGAATGCCTGGCCCTGTATTGAGGCAATGCAGTCAGAGGCCTAAGGCGATGTTTCACGTTAATAGAATATTTTAGGTAAGGATTAAGATAAGAAAGATAAGAACTGAAGTAGACTATTTTAGGAATTTAGTTTAGGATCTGGCAGTACTAGGTCTATACTGTTTTCTTCTGCTTAATATTATTGATATAATGATTGATAAAATGATTATTGAGGAGTATGAAAATAGAGAGCTTGTAAGCCCACTGGTCTTCAGCCACTAATTTGAATCTTTAAATGGGTTAGGAAACACGGCTCTGAAAAGCAAAGCCCCACCCTTGAGTGCTCAAGACATCTGAAGGGGAAGAGACTTGCCTATGGGGCTGTTAATAGATTGAAGGAAAAAAGGAACCCTTTGGTTTTTGAATTTTGAACAAGTGGTTTGTGCCAGAAGTTAGAAAAGTTTTGGAGCCATGAAAAAACTCTCTTCTCAGGACTGGACATTAAAGGGAACCTGTGGGCAGCTTGAAAGGCTTGCGAGATGACCACCTGGATCCACTTGTTGAGTGGAAGTGAGAGAATAACAGCAATGAGAAGATGGGTTCAGTCTGGCCACTGACACCTGTGGACCTGGTTCACAGGGACTAGAGAAGATGAGAGCACGTTGACTGGTCTGGAGTTCATGAGCTAGCACAGCGAGGCTAGGTTGAGAAATTTGTGACAGGGCCCATATTCTAACGGTGAGGCGACCAAAGGGCATTGAGGCTAAGCGAAGTGGTCCGCACTGAGTTGACCAGAACCTGATCAGATGAAGAGAAGATATTTGAGCCTGTGAACTGGTGCATATTGCTGCTGACTTTATGGATGGCCTGTTCTGATTTGGTTTTGCTAATGGATGCAGACTCACAAAGTTCCAACTGGAATAAAGACTGTTCACATCAAAGAATATGATTGTCTCCTCAGAGCACAGGAATTTAAGTGGGCAGCATAAAAATTGGATACCAAAAACAGGGAGGATATAGTCTTGAAGTGGTTGGCTTACAAACTTTCACAGGTGGGGGAATATATTCATAAGATTATAATGTAGTTGTTCACTTAACTGCAATTGTTAGACACAGAATATTGTTGTTTTGTTCACTTATAGAATATTATGCTTAAATGAGGCTGATACATATTGAATTGTATGCATTTTAGTTTTATCCTGTTAGCTACAGATAAGATTATATTATTGCTTTGTTTAAAAATTATACATGGCTAAAGAGTTGTGTAGAACTGTCAAGTTGATAAGGGAGGGTTTGTGGCAGTTACATAATATATCAACTTGTGAAGGGGTGAGTCTGGCCTGTCAATCACCAGTGCTGAGATGCTTCCACCTCTACTGGCTCCACAAGACTTTCCACCCCCTGGCTTGTGATCTTCCTGCAGAACCCAACCCAAAATTGATTTCAGTAATATCAGCAAAATTATCATGATCAGTATAAGTGGATTAATTATCACCATTAAAACATTACCTAACTGTGCATTTTCAGCATGAGGCTGATGGAGCCAGACCTCTGGAGCTGGAGAAGCCAATTGGCTCTATCACCCTTTTTGTGTTGTCTTGACACTTAGATAGTCTCTGTGTTAGTCCGGGTAGACTAGAGAAGCAAATCCATAGACACTCATGTGTATAAGAAAGAACAGCTGAATATTAAGAAAACATCCCAGCCCAGTCCAGATCAAGTCCATAAGTCCTATATTAGCCTATGTGTCTGATACCAATATATAAAGTCCTTTTCAGACTGACGAAACACATGCAATGACACTGAATGCAAGAAGATCACAAGCCAGTAGGTGGGAAGTCTTGTGGATCCAGTGGCGTAAGCATCTCAGGCACTGGCAGGAGTCTGGTTTCTCCAGCTCCAGAGGTCTGGCTCCATCAGCCTCTCTCCATGTGTCTTCTCCACAGGGATGTCTCACAGGGAGTGAGCAGAGAGTGTCTTGCACTTCCAAGGAGGAAATACCGGACTTCCCAGAATCCTTAGGAGAAGGCCATGCCCACAGAGGCCTCATTGTCTACGACCTGATTGACAGGTAAACTCTAGCCCTTCACTGGCAATTCTCTCAAATTGACAACAGATTATATAACTACCACAGAGGTGTTTTAACAGCTTATAAATTGTAGCTTTCAGTATACCGATATCTATTCCCAAGAAAATAAAGGGTGAGTCAGGGGCACATAAAACTATTTGAATCATATTGCCAGTGATTTTTTTGCCTTATTATTTTTCAGTTGAATTTGAAATTTTATCATGAAGGTGAGTTACTAATATAAACAAATGCCCTGCCCAATTTTTTCTAAAAGGTTAATATACCTTCTTCTTGTTTGTTTTTCTTGCCCATTAAACACAACTAACTGGGCTGATAATTTCTGAGATAGTACTACATTAACTATCCTAGCTAATCGGCCTCCCACTTCATGCAAAATAAAGTAAGTTTCAAATAGTCACGATAACATATAATGAGTCCAATGAAGCACTTGTGGTTGGATGTGGCTGACAGGATAATGATGTATAGTTGCCGAGAACCTTTCATCTGAGAATTGTAAATAGCTTCACACTCATCATTTCCCTGATCCACAACAATCCTTTGAAGTGTGAGGTAGTGACCTGCCCACGGTAATACTCGTATAAGGGACCACAGGTAGAATTAGGGGAGAAGCTTAAACTTTTTTACAGTCATCTACATTTAACAGGACACATTTTCTGTTTTTTAATATAACAAAGCAAGATGATCAAAGCCCACAGAGTTTATAGAATAGCTAATATAGAAAAAAATCTTAACCGAAGCTTATCTACTTTGGTTAGCAGATGGGCAACTTACAAAGATGTAAAAGTGTTTTGAAACCTACTCCAAAACTGGTTCGGAAACTGTTTATAAAAAGAACAGACTCCTGTAGCCAGGAACGATGATGGTGAAGTTTGTAATTCCACTCAAGAGAACAGATTGCCTTTCATCCTCCCATAACTCTCACCCTGTGTCACTTAATACACACAAGCAAATTAGAGATTTAAGAGTCGAACGCATTTTAAACAAAGAAAGCTTTATATTTCCATACGTGGATAAAAAGAATCCCTTCTGACGCTCTCCCACTTTCCTACCGAGAAAGCACTGACCTTGATCTTGGAGTCATTTTTGTTGTCGCTGGCAGGCCATCTGAGAGTTTAAATGGACTCTTCAGTGGTGATATGTAGATGTTCCCCCCAGGGATGCGCAGAGGTGAATTGGAAAATTTATAAGGACTCCGAGGAATGTAAGGTATTGGTGACAAGGTAGGGGGCTAGAATTTAAAAAGTAGATTATTAACTGCTTGTGGTAGCAATTGTATGTATAGTACTGCTTGACATGATTGAACTATGGAATGATATGATTTATGTATGAGCTCCCAATTAAAAATAATTTTAAAAATAGATTGGCTTTAAAAATAAGCAAATAAAAGTACATTATTTATTAATATCCCAGAGAGATCCATTGCTTTATAATTACATATGCCCAAGTAAAGCACTCTTTCCACATACCCTGGTGGAAGCATACTGCAAAATATTTGTTTTCAGTCTTTGCATGAAGACAGAGTTGTAGAATACTATAATGGAGTCATATTCCTCTTCTCTGATCAAAACACGTTTGAATGTCTGAGGGGGATGAGAAAAAAATCTGTTAAATGAAATTTTCTAGTTTATATCCTTCATTATCTTTTCTAGTATTTCACAAGCCTGCTGAACAGTAAACTGAATACAATATACAACTGCTGTAACAGAAGTGACAAGTTGCTGAGTGACTGACGGGACTAGTTGGTTGGCTGACAAGGGTGGAGCAGCTGGACCAGCAAGGTGGGAAAACAGGATGGGCCTCAAAGGCCAAAAAGGAGCAAAAACTAGTCCTATTATCCCCCAATATTTAGACTACACTCTCTGATCTACAATCCTCCCCACATTACCCTCCTATCCCTGTCCCCCAACCCACAAGGGTTCAAGAAGTGTGTATTACTAGATCACAAGATCACTAGATCACTAGAAGAAGGCGCCTTACTGAAAGCAGTAACTTATCTGAGAGGAAGATTGTACTCTGTTTTAACTAGGCAAAAGCATAAGGGGTTTTACAGAATACTTCAGATATATGTAATTTAAATGTCTAGATGGTGAACATTAGGTTAAATGTATACAAATTATTCATTATAAAGCTTATTCATTTTACTTTTGAAAAATCCTATGATAAATTAAAAATATAACCTATGACTCAACCTGCCACTAAAGAGTATGAATTGTGCCACACCAAGTATACTTTACTACGGCTGTGACTACTGGTTCTCTAAAGTGAAGGCAAACTGGAGACACATGTTCACCTTGGAAACTTTTTAAAGCTATCTTTCACTGGACTTTCTGATAAAGTGTAAAAATAACTTTTAAAAAATGTAAGATCCTATTACTTATGTCAAGTACATTATAAATACCCTGACTGTTCCTTATTAAATATAAAATATGCATATGAATAAAGAAATGAAATATGAACTTGGACCATAGCTCCAATTTACCGATAATTGACCAAAAATATGAAAGTAAAAATCAATTTGTACATACACATAATAAGGTCAAGATCTAATAACTAGAATTATCCAGATTAAAAAAAAGAAAGAAAACTCTCACTACGAGAACTGCCTACCTCCTGGACAGCATGAGGGAGGTCCTTATATGCTGTTACGATGATTTTGAACTTCAGGTCAATATTCTTCACTTTACAAATGCCATACATAGAACACATCATGATCTAGTAAATAAGTGGAGATAAAAAGTCAGAATGTATTACGTGGTTTTGTTCTAAAAAGCACTCTCTTACCATTCTTTTGACCTTAAAAAATAAATTCCTACAGGATTATCTTTCCCCATCTTTAAGCTCAGTTTGAAAGTCTATGTGAAATGGTTCATCTAAATTATGTTTAAAGAACAAATGCAAAGAGCAACTCTTGATTATTCAGAACTATCTAGTTTGTAAATTATACTAACTTTAACTCCTGCTCTTTGGATGGTTCCAAGAAGAAGAAAAAATTAAAGCTGGAATCAGATCAATGAATAATTTCCAAAGGAAAAAAAGTCAGATGTGAAAAAAGTTCCAATTATTCAAGAACGAGTATTGCAGACATTCCATGGTAGTGGTGGGAGTGAGTGTGAAGTGTTGGAAACAAAGCAAGAGAGGTTTCTGGATTGTTGAAAATTTCTTGATCTAAGTGCTAGTTATCTGGGTGAGTTTAAATGACTTTTGGTAATAAGATCTCTCTAGTCATTAAATATGTGCACTGAATCGGTACGTAGTTAGCAAATAAATAGGGACGAGAAGGCTCAGTGCTTGATTTCCTTACCTGGTCCAAATGCCTGTCTCTCATGAGCTCACACTCATGTTGCAGTGTGTGCTGGAAAAGGGTCCAGATGATATGTTCTAGTTCTGGGTGGTCAGACAGAAGGCGTGAACACAGGGTGTTGAGTCGGAGATACGCGAGTCTATACACTATGGAAATAAGAGGAACCAATGATGTGGATATTTACTGCTCATTTTCAGCTACAAGTAGTTTCTTTATCATAATAAATTGCTATAGCCATAATGCTGTCACTCTTTCCCTGATGAATGAATGATTTTTGGTGCTACATACATAGAAAACACAATCCTACTTGCTGTTACGACTTTACAAAGAGACGTGGTTGTGCAGTGAATTAAGCACAGGAGGTCAATAGGGCAAATTGACTGCCTCTGCAATGGGAGAAAGAAGAGGCAGTCTGCTCCTGTAGTATCTGCAGCTTCAGCAATGCTGTGGAGCAATTTTACTCCGCCTTACAGAATTGTTACGAGTTGGAATCTACTAGATGGCTGTGTGTGATTAAACTATTCAAGCATGAAATCAAGTAGAAGTGGAAGGTTGAGAGAAGAAAAAGTCCTAAAAGATTGATAAATTAGACAAGCTATACTGAGTCTATTTCAGTTCTGATGGTAATCACTCATAACAGATAGCAGATATCCCAATTATCAATGCTCAAGAGAAATCATTATTTTTAAAACAATGGAATTGTCTAGTGTCTATCACTTTTCTCACTATAAAAAACAACAACATAGATCTCTATTAGAAACCAATGGAGCAAACTTTGTTGGGAGCCCGGGTGACTCTGCTGGGTAATCACTGTACTCCTAACGTACAGTCAGCTGCTTATCCCAACAGTCTCTTCAAGAGAGAGAGAAAAGGCCGTCTGTTCCAGTAAAGATTTACAAAGCCTCCAAAACTCTATGCAAGGTGACTATGAGTTGGAATCAACTTGAAGGCGGTGGGCTTCATTGGGGCTTATGGATTACCTAGATGGTAATGTAACTGTAATATAAAATCTACTGAGTCACCAAAAAGCTACAACTGGCAATACAAGTTTGGAAAAAAGGAATCCACAGAATTGAATTTTCCTCCATTTCTTTGAAACATAAGGAGCCCTGGTGGCACTACGGGCTTGGTAGTGGCCAACTGACCACAAGTCAGTGGTTCAAACCCACTTTCTCCACGACTTAAATAAAATACAGAGAATATTTGTCATAGATAAATCTGGCATTTTACTCTCTTTCCAGGTGTCTGTGTACTTGAATTTTCATCTGCATATAAACCAACGTCCAACCTCCCTGCCCCACTCTTCCACACCTCACCCGAGTATGTTCTATAACCTGGTAACTTAGTTTTCTTAAATGTCCTAAAAAATATTCAACTCTACATCCAAACCTGAACAGCCAAAGTAATGCCAAGGGCATTTGAAAGTATTAACTGTAGCAGGAGCAGCAACATCTAACATTTACTAAGTGCTTATTATGTGCTAGGCACTGTTGAATACATTTTATATGTATTAATTCAAATAAGGAAACTGAGGCACAAAGACTGTATTAAATGATTCATACACAGCCATACCTAGAAAGGAGAAAAGCCGTAATTTAAACCCGGTCAGATGTGCTTCAGAAGCCATCCCAGAGGTAATCATCTACTAACCTTTCTTGTAAAAAAGCGTAAGGGAGGCAGATCGTAATGGCTTCTGGGTCTGGAAAGCTGAGGTCGGTTGGGCCTCTGCATGTGCAGTAGAATTTACACGCATAGTTGACCCTTTTTTCTTTGGAGACCTTACAGGAGATAGATACCTAAATATATTAAAAGGAAAACACTTTATTTGAAGATTGCTCACACACACACACACACACACACACACACACACCTGTACACAAACATCCAGAAATATATTGTTCATTTAATTGGGTACTGTGTATCAAATTCCTTACTCTAGCTATTGAAATACAAACAAAAAAGCTAGATTAATAGAAATATTTAAACTGCCATTCTAATAACCAAGTTTATTTTGAAAAATAGCTGTTCCCAAGAATTACTGACTTCTTAAAAAAGGTATACATTTCAATTTTTATAACTGAAACCACAAATGACACCAACTTAAAAGAAAAGTTGTTAATATCAAGAAGAATGACTTGCCCAAAATTTCAGAACCAAAAGAAACAAACAAACAGCCCACAGAGAAAATAATAGAAGAGTTGTTTCACTAATATCATGAAAGTTGAGATGCTATACATTCAGGAAGCTCAACAAGCTTGGAGCTGAGTAGACCCCAAAAGAAAATTACCAAGGTATATCATTGTGATAGTTAGGTTTCCTGTGCCAACATGGCTCCCCTAGGAACATGTGGGCAGAGTTTTAGCCTGTCAATCAGGTCCCAGCTTGATTGGAGGGCCACTGAGATCAATGGCTCTCCAAGGCTGGTCTCCTTTTCTCTTCCTCCCTGGTGACTGGAACAGTGTGCTGCTGTCTTAGCTAGTCTTTTGCCTCAACCATGTGCTGTGCTACCTGTGGGCTGAGCCAACCCATGGAATGTGTTGCTGCGCTGTGCATAGCTAGAGCCTGAGGCTCCATTGGGACCCGCTTCCTTACACTGCTTGCACTATTGGCCTCTGCTCCTCATCTTCCTGATGTTGTCATGGACAAATGTCTTAAAAAACAATACCTACCTGAGATAGTTTATTGTGCCAGCCTGGCTGATAAACACAAGTGGGATTAACTGAAGGGCAGAGAGATAAATGGCTTGGTGAGTCTCGCCTTTCTTGTCTCTCGCTGCTCTTTGGTCATCGGACCAGCTTGTTCTGTGCCTCAATTTACAGGCTACATCACCTGTGGGACGCCTAGCCTGTGGACTGTGTTGCTGTAAGTTGAGGTCCCTTTAAAACATCTCTGGAGCTGGGCACTGGCGGTTGGTGACCTGGTTGGCATTTGATGACCTGCCTTCTGATTGGCTGCTGTGCCAACATGGCCTAGCTCTCTCTATAAATAGAGGACAATCTGGCAGCAGACTAGACTTGCAGGACTGCTAGTCTCTCACAACTCTCTCACGGGAGTGAGTTGAATTGAGCCATTTGTAGTGCTTTATAATTTAAGTGTTTCTTTCTTGTATTATATATTTATCTGCATATGATTTAACAGTTCATTTCTTGTTATATATATAAAATTATCTTTATAAATCCTGTATTCATTTTATTAAGCAAGCATAAGCCTGACACCCTAACCAGCATAAGACACAATTTAAAAAGAAATTATAGACCAATATCCCTCATGAATATAGACAAAATTCTAAGCAATAGAATACCACAATACCTCAAAAAGTAATAATAACACATCATGACCAAATGGGATTCATACCAGAGGACATACAAGCAATATACTCCACCACATAAATACAAGAACCACATGATCATATCAAAGGAGAAAAGGCATTTGACAAATTCAACATCCATTCCTGATAAAACATTCAACAAAATATGAAGAGAAGGGAAAATCTTCAACATAATTAAAGGCACGTATACAAAACCAACATTAATATCAACAGGAAAATCGAAAACATTTCCCTTGCAACAGAAACCAAAAAGGATGATTTTATCACTACTCCCATTCAATATTGTACTGGAAGTCTTAGCTAGTGCTGTAAGAGAAACGAAAGATATCTAAATTGGCAAAGAAGTAGTAAAAAATGTTAGATGTGATGCAATCCTATATAACCTGTTTCCCCGAAAGTAAGACATCCCCCGAAAATAAGACCTACCTACAGTTTTGCCTCTCGCTGAAATATAAGGCATCCCCCCGAAAATAAGGGTTTGGATTGTTATGATGATGTTCCAGAAGATGATGACATGACTGTCATTGAATAAATGAATAAACGTACCACAGACTGTTGTATATGGAAATAATGGTAGTAACAGAAATTCTTGATACTGTAGGATTCACAGTTTGTCTGGTTTGGTTCAACAATAAATGTGTACCATATTCTTCTTCATGGAAAAATAAGACATCCCCTGAAAATAAGACCTAGCGTATCTTTGGGAATAAAAATTAATATACTGTCTTATTTTCCGGGAAACAGGGTAGCAAAAATCCCAAAGACTCGGCAAGAAAATTGCTGAAATTAATTGAAAGATTGAACAGTGGCAGGATACAAGATTATAATACAAAGTAAGATTGGTTCCTCTACAACAGGAGTTGGACCTTTTTTCCACCAGGGGCCATTTGGACGTCTGTAACTATTCGAGAGTCATACTGGCCAAACATTTAATCAATACGCCCCTAATGTGATGCTGGAACTGCTTCCACTCTGGTAAGGCTCGCTCTAGTGCTGATGACCTCACAGGCCTCAGACAACCTGTGAGAGGACCTTCCCCACCCCTGCTCTACACTGACAAAGAACTCTGAGAAGAGCATCAGGAAAACAACACGATTTCAATATTCACCCCAAAATGAAACACAAGTGATCTTCAAAAAGTTCATGGAAAAATTCCATTACCATTTAGTAAAGTTTTTCCATAAATTCGTTAAAGACTCCTTATATTTAAGAATAAATCTGACTACAAAATCAAAAGGTCTATACAAAGAAAACTATAAAACACTATTACATGAAGCTAAAAGTGACTTACAAAAACGGAAGAATATCCCATACTCAGGGATAGGAAGACATTATGAAAATGTTAATAAAATGTCAGTGTCATTTAAAGTTATCTACAGATATAAAACAATCCTGGTCCAGGTTCCAATATCATTCCAACTTTATACAGAAAGGAAAGAGATCCCGGATAAGCAAAGCACTAATGAAAAAGAACAGAATAGGAGGCTTTAGATGTTGTGAACTCAAAATCTACCGATAGTTATGATAATCAAAACACGTGGGAAAGATACAATAGACATGCACACCAATAGAACTGAAATACCAGAAGTAATTAAATAAATAAGTAAATAAATAAATAAACCAATCAGCAACATAAATCTAGTGACAAAGGGCCACATTAAATAGAGAAAGGGGTAGTCTCTTAGGACTGACAACAGTAGACATACATTTATTTTAAAATGAAGCAGAATCCATATCTCATGCCAAACTGAAAATGAAATCAAGATGGATCAAAGACCTAAATGTAAAACATAAAAATATAAAGAGCATCAAGGAAAAAACTGGACAAATTTAAGGCAGGCATATGGGGACTGGAAACAATATCAAATACAGCTGGAAACAGACCCACAGCAGAAGACAAACTAGATGTCTGGGATCTCCTACAAATCAGATACTTGACATGCTTCAAAAAAGGAAAAAGAGAACCCACAGACGGGGGAAAATGGACAAAGGATTTTTGGCAATGGACAAAGAATTAATCTCTTAACTTTACAGAAAGATTCAAAACCCAACCAAAAAAGACACCCTATTTAAAAATTAACAAAGGACATGAACAGACAATTCACCACAAAAGACATGCAGGAAGCTAACACATACATAAAGAAATACTCATTATCATTAGCCATGAGAAATATGCAAATCAAAACAACAATAACATATCCTCTCCTCCCAGCAATAATAGAAAAGTTCAAAGAGCAGAAATGAACAAATTGTATGGAGAGACTAGAATCTTCATACACTGCTCATGGGTCTGTAAAACGGTGTAACCATGGTTAAGAGTGATATGAAACTTCCTTAAAAATTGGAAATAGAAAAAAAAAAAGAAAAAAATTTGGAAATAGAAATACCACAGGATCCAGCAAGCCCATGATTTGGTATATATCTATAGAAGTAAAAGTCACAGCATAATACACATACACACACACACACACTGTCCACCTTGGAATTTCTTTTCAGCTCACTAACTGAAAGTATTCTATAGATTGACTTAACTCGAGTATCAGTTTGGATGCCTTGAGCTCTAGTTGCAAATATTGTTGCAAATATCAGTTCATTTATGTAACTGATATCACTATTTGAATTTCAAACTTAATAAAATCAGAATGGGTTCTTGATTTCTTCCTATGGATTTCTTCATGTCAGTACATGGCTCCATATTACATCCAGTCTCTTATGTCAAAAACCTAGGAGTCATTTAAAATTTTTTATCTAAGTCATGTATCATGTCTTACTCAAGATTCTATTTGCCACAATTTCTACAAGGTTGCTTCCACTGTTAGTATGCTCAATCCTGAACCTGGATCAGGATTGTTTTATATCTGTAGATAACTTTAAATGACATTTATTTGCAGTTTGAATAGGTAATAACATATGCTCTACTTACATATCTGCTGCAGTGTGGCTGTTCTGGAGGGGAAGGTTCATAGTACAATTAGATTCAAGATGATCAGATGCTCCTTCTCTTTCCTTTGAGAGTTTAATAAGGTCAAATAAAGGTGAACCCTATATGAAACAAGATATAATAACATTAATGAGTATTATTTTCACATGTACCTAACAAAATCATGCTGAGTATTAATTTTAATCACAATTGCCACTAGAATTTTATAAATCTTTCTTGCCACTCTCAAAATAGTGACTGCCCAATTTTTGTACTAAACAAAATAAGACTGGGAAAGTATTTACATTAGGGGAAAAGTTAGAAGTTAAGTAAAAACGATACAGAAAAAAATCAAAGAGGGCAGAAATATAGTAAATATAGGAACAGAATTTAGTAAAATTGAAAACAAAAATACAAGCCTTCTTGTACTCAATTGGATCAAAAAGGCTAAAAGTTGTTTCTTTGAAATAACTAATAAAGCTAAACACAGTCAAGCTATGAAGAAAAAGAGAAGTCACAAATGAACACTATAAGGAATGAAAATTAAACATTATAAAAAAAACATTATCACAAAGATTAGTAATAGGGGACTGCTATAGTAAATAATTCACTAAAACACAATTGAAAAGAAGTAAAATAATCTGAATAGTTCTATTAAAGAATTTGGATGAAAAATCTCTCCATATAAATAAAACTCAAAATCATAAACGAGATTAGGCTTACTAGTTACAGTGAGGTGGGACCCCCTGCAAGACTATACCCCTTAGGCACCTTTCAGGTCTAGCACTAGATCCATCCTTATGATCAAATAATCAACCATTTAAGATTAAAAGGGCAAAATTTTGCCCAAAGACAAAGTTCAAAAGGTGAGGAAAGAAAGAGGAACAACAAGAAAAAAGCAAACACAGGAAGAAAGCAGAATTAGTGGTAGTAAATTGAGGAGATGGCAATGAACGCATTGAAACAAGATGGGTAGGGTTTAATGTAAAACTTCATGTTCTGTAAAGCTTCACTTAACTCATACATTTTTTAAAAAACCACTCCACAAAGAGAACACTAGTAGTGAAACAAATTTGTATGTATTGCTGATTGAGAAATGAATTTGTAGGCCTGTCTGGATAGGACAGGCTGGATGAACGATCTGGAGGAGAAAACAACGGGACTGACAGTTCCGGGGGGACATGGGA